TTGCTTCTTACGACGTAGCAATTCGCAACCGGCTTGATACACTAGAGCAGAACAACGGCACCTTCGAACGAAAACAATGAATTAGTGTACTACCTAGGTCGCCGAGATGGGCGCCACTGACGGAGTTCCAGATCATGACGAAATTTTTAGCCTGTCTACATTCCAGAGCTGAATCTCCTCACATCTAAGCCACACTCTCACCAGGGGCAATGGCGCTGTTTGCCGTTAGACTGGTTCATTGTACTTTTCCGGCGATGGTAGTGGTGCTGGTATGCGCAATCTAGACTTGACCAGCCATCGGAAAGGTTCGAGCCGCGTGTGCTGGGCTCCGGATTCAGACGCGTATCGCCTCCTCGGGCACGTGTTATCCGCGTGCCGTTAATTGATATAAAACATGCCCTCAAAGGTCGAGATGTCTCTGCCGACTAGTTTCGCGGCTCATTCATAGGTAGGTCTCGCATTGGGCTTCGTGCTCGCTATTCTACAATCGTTTCTTCATTCGGTCGTTCATTCGTTCATTCACTCTTTTCATCTCACACAATGATTCACTCTCTTTCGGGGCTAATTACGCTCCTTACTGCCGTAACATACGGCGTCACTTTCGCGAGTGCTGGCTTCAGTGCTAGTTCGACTAGCATCATTGCCGTTTATTGGGGTACTGTCAATTTTTCCCATCATCGAAGACCGTGATACTGAATAGCCCATACAGGTCAGAACTCGTACGGACAGGCTACAGGCTCGTCACTTTCTCAACAACGATTATCGTATTATTGCCAAAGTAAGTCTAGAAAAATATGTCTCGGTGCTCAGCAAGTATAGACACTGATGATGATCGCAGACACGAACGTTAATGTAATTAAAAACACCAGCTGGTCTCATTGAACGATGACTAAATGGGATTAGATCATTCCACTTGCTTTTCTCAATGTAATTGTCAATCCTACCACAGTCAATTTCGCAAACGCCGGCGATAGATGTTCCGTCTTCTCTGGCACTACCTTATTGAGCTGTCCAGAGATTGAGTAGGTTGCCCTCGCGCCTTTGTTTCAGACGTGAGATGTCTTATAGAGCTGATACCGTAATAGGGCCGACATCAAAACTTGCCAGAGTACATATGGCAAGACTATACTCCTTTCTATTGGAGGTGCTACCTATACAGAAGGGGGCTTCTCGTCATCTTCAGCGGCCGTCACTGCGGCAAACAACATCTGGGCTATGTTCGGCCCCGTCCAATCAGGAAGTTCTGTCAACCGACCTTTCAATACTGCAGTGATTGATGGGTTCGACTTTGACTTCGAGTCTGCGACTTCGAACATGGCACCTTTCGCTCAGCGTCTGCGCACTCTCATGAACGCTGCCACTGCCGCGGGAGGAAAGAGTTACTATCTGTCTGCAGCACCTCAGTGCCCTTACCCCGATGTGGCCGATAATGACATGCTCAATGGGGCTGTATCCTTTGACTTCATCATGGTTCAGTTTTACAACAACTACTGCGGTCTACAGTCTTTTGTGTCTGGTTCCACGACGCAAAATAACTTCAATTTTGGGACTTGGGATACTTGGGCCCGAACCGTGAGTCTCAACAAGAATGTCAAGGTTCTGTTAGGCATCCCGGGCAATTCTGGTGCTGCCGGCTCAGGATACGTATCCGGTAGCAGCTTGGCTGCTATCATTGCGTATTGCAAGACTTTCTCAAGCTTTGGCGGCGTTATGGTCTGGGATATGACACAACTCTATGCCAACAGCGGCTTTCTCGCGGAGATCGTCTCAGATTTGGGCCAGCAAGTTGTGGCCACGACCCGGGCGTCCACATCGACCGTCAAACCTACGTCGACGAGCAAGGCCACTACGCCAACGACGATGCGTACCACCTCCAAGACTACGACTGCCAAGGTTACAACAGCCAAAACTACGCCAGCCTCAACCAAGACCACGGCTAAGGCCTCCACGACAACCACAGCCAAGGCTGCAAGCTCAACTCTTGTAGCGCAGTGGGGCCAGTGTGGAGGCCTATTCTACACTGGATCGACCACCTGCCAATCCCCTTACGTTTGTGTAGCAAGCAGTATATGGTGGTCGCAATGCCAGGCTGCGGCGGCAGGGGCTCAAACAACATCAAGCAAGAAAGCAACATCCACCAAAGCAGCGACAACGGTCAAAGCCACAAGTACAACGTCGAGCAAGAAGGCAACCACAACGGCATCGTCTAGCAATGCTGTGGCCCAGTGGGGCCAGTGTGGCGGAATTGGCTATACGGGTTCTACAGTCTGTAAATCGCCGTACAAGTGTGTTGCTAATAGTGTTTGGTGGGCTCAGTGTCAGTGAACTCGATAAGTCGGCGGCAAAATTGTTTAAATCTGTTTTCGTTTATAGACAAGCGACTTATAATGATAGCGATAATAATAATATCGGATTTTGCTTTCATAAAGTCATGAATTATTAGAACATGTTTCAACTTTGTTCTTGTATTTGATCCCAAAACAAAGTGAGGTTCGTGATTCAGCACATTCATTAGCGCAATGAAATAAGCGACCGGGGTGGGTGTGGTGGGTTTAGGCGACGCGCAGACCTGAGAATCTTGAGCGCACCATCCTATCCTCCAATTCAAAAGAAGACTCAAATTGCCTACTATTCATCACTGCCATCTCGAAAGTGGTAGAAGTGACAGGGAAGGAGTCTGTCGCGATTGCTGAAGGAGTGTCCCCACCCTTTTCAGCCGAACTGGAGAGAATGAACCGCTGGTTGACGGACGTTGGCGTCTTGACCTTGCAATCCTTATGGACGGCCTCCGGAATGTCGCAGAAGGGACTTTCGAGTCTGCGCAAGAGTTCAATGAGCGGTCGGCGGGCTTTGAATACAACGCTTTAGAGATAGTTAAGCCCGAAGATGAGTCTCCTCAATGTCAAGCCCATATCTTGACACAACGAGAGCTTTGGAAGTTCGGGATATCCGAGCAGCTACAGCGACGAGATTCACAGGAAGGGCAGCCTTCGACATTCAGACTGATTGCCATTCCACGAAGCCATGATAGAAGTCTACTGATATCCAAAGAAGACTTCTGGCGTCTATTCAAAGCACTGGATCTGGATGCATGGGTTCTATATCCAGTCGCCCGAAAGTACTTTGGCTTCAACTTCTACCGTGCCCCGAACGGCTGCACGACGTTCTTCGTCGGCACCGTCTTCTACGCGCTTCTGTGGACGTTCGATTCAAGAAGCCGCTCAACAAACGCGATTGCCTTGGTACGGCAAAGCAACGGCCTAAAGGGCGGCAATGCTATTTACGCCGAACTGGCTGCAATGCTCCAAGATTACGCATCCTTCATAGACAATCCTTACCTCATCGCAATGATCGCAGCATTCCACATTGTCAGGTTCCTGGATCAGTCTCTTGGCGTTGGATTTGATGTTATACGAGAAGTAGAAGCAAAGACCGGCCACGGAGCTTGGTTTGATCCCCACGGAAGCAAGATGAGCATCGACGATATCACGGTCTGGTCCCGCACGACTGGAGCTATACGAGTAGACGTCTCAAACCACTTCCGCCATGTGGAGATTGCGACTTCATTACTATCATCCATAACGGACGACTCGTGTGATATGCGGAGTTGCATGACGAAGGATGGCCAGGATGATTATGGGAGCAGCATGGCAGAACTGAAGGTGGTGGCCGATGTGATTCAAAGACAAGTCAACTCCTGCAAGGCGACAACGAGATACCTGCAAGAGCGCGTGAAGAGCCAGGCTGGTGTGGTGAGACTTTCTCGTTCTTCTGTTTCTGGGGTGAGTAGCTAATGGCGTCTCAGCTCTTTGCTCTACTCACGCATGAGGATGCCCGAGCGAATATTGACCTGGCAGACAAGGCGAAGCGTGATAGCTCGTCCATGAAGACCATCGCTGTCATGACGATGGCCTTCTTGCCTGGAACCTTCTTTGCGGCACTCTTCGCGCTGCCCTCTCTACAATGGGACGAGCCAGGCGTGATCAGATCCAATTTCTGGGTGTACTGGGCCTTCACATTGCCTGCAACCTTGATGGTATTTGCAACTTGGCTGGTGTCCACCAACCGTGAATGGTTCAAAACCCGCCGTCAACGGAAGGAAAGGCACCGCAGCTGAAGACGAGTGGAACTGGGGAGCAGCTGGATAACAGACGCAATGACACCAGGTAAAACGAGATGAGAATTACACTTTTGGCCTCTGTTCTCACCTTCACCGTCTCCCTAGTCTCAGTGGCACTTGGCCGGGGCATCTACTTCCTAGTCCTCGATTTACAACTGCTCTGCCCTGGCCGCGTAGACAAGTATATAGCAGCATGTTCCAAGTAAATCACCGACGTTGCATGCCTCTCACAAGGCTTAGGCGACGGTAGCAGTCCATCCGCACCTTTCCTGCGCCTCAGATGACTACAGTAGTGGGTGGACTCAGTGGAAGGTGGAACATTTGACTGCCGAGTGACCGCTAAAGGCTCCCGTAAGACGGCGGGGCGAACATGCTAAAATTGGCGGGTTGGTCGCTAATACGAGATCCCAAGTGCCGATCAGTGCTCCACATTGCCAACACGAAGCTGGAGACGTGGCCCTGAACCCTGAAGCGAACCAGCACCCGACGATAGGACTGGGCTGAGGCTCCCGAACGACCAAGTTTGGATTGTTATTCTCCTCTTAAAAAGCATGACCTTACGGCAGAGACGGAACCCCCTAACTTTTACTATGAACTTTCTGCAAATCGGGATGCACATGCGGATCCAGCCGAGCTGTGCAGCAGGGTTGTTATGACGGATGCCCAGCGAATCTGTGAACGAATGTGAACGTTACTATCGGGTTGTCGGCGAGCCTGTGGGCCTTTGAGGAAGAAGTCCTGATGGTCTCAAGCCATCTATATAACTGACCTTCTGTCTATGTCTCAGTGGAAGAACTTCTCATCATCAGACTCATCTATAACTTCAACATCAAGAACTATTCAAACACTACGTCATCCTTAGCTTATCCACAACTATACTATGTTCTTCTCCAATAAGGCACTCAGCATCTTCTCTCTGGCCGCTGCTGTCAGCGCGCTCAGCGTGTCCTACGACCAAGGCTACGACGATGCCAGTCGTCTCATGACAGCTGTGGCCTGCTCCGATGGTCCCAACGGCCTGATCACCAAGTACGGCTGGGAAACCCAGGGCGCCATCCCCAAATTCCCAAACATTGGCGGCTGGGAGGGTATTGAGGGTTGGGGCTCAACAAATGTAAGGAATTCCATGAGGCAGCGACTTTCCAACCTATCCATACTAATCATTTTGCCCAGTGTGGAACCTGCTTGCAGCTCACTTACAACGGCAAGAGCATCAACGTCCTGGCGATCGATCATGCCGCAGCCGGCGCTAATATTGCCCTCGAGGCAATGAACGTCTTGACCAACAACCAGGCTGAGTTCTTGGGCCGTGTGGAGGCTGATGTGGTTCAATTGGATATCAGCGCCTGCTTGTAAAGGGATCGCGGCGAGGATTTTGATGTAGCATTTTGCGGCGTTCACTTGCATCATCACGGCTCACCAGCATTTCTCACGGAGTTTTGCAGTCAGGGCCTAAAGTACAATAATCAAAATAAATAGGACATACCCTAAACATTGAAACACCAGAGAACAATCAACATTTTGTCGCCAAGAATTTGGACAAGATCGTTACCAAGCTCTTCACGCTCACAGCTGTCCAAATTACACTGCAAGCTCACATCTGAAACAGATACCAAAAGAACACCCTCGAATTAGTAGGCCATTATGACTTGCAACCTTTTGTGAACAGATGAAAGGACTTCCAACTGGAGGCTTGGGAAACGGCCATGTAGATGACAAAGTTGTTACCTGGCGCCAGAAGCCATTCTAAGAGAGGTCTGCGTACTCCTCTGAGACACAAGGGGCGCCTGACTGCCGCATTCCGTTCTGCCAAAACGCCCACTCGACGAGCTCGCCATCGTCTATCCAGCGCATTTCGAGGGCCACAGTGTCGTTGGACGATACTGGGTATTTGGGCCGCCACTTCACAATATGAACGACCTGCACAACATCCGCAATGCGGCAAATGCGCAGCCGAATAGTACCATCGCCGCCTGTTCCGGCGGATTCGATAACCTCCCACGGAAGCGCGACACGCTTCAGCATCCCGTTTGTCATGTATTCTCCCTGAACGATAGGTGTTTCGCATCAGCCTTATATTCGTCGAAGTCACTTTTGTGCCTGCTAGGAGGAAGAGGCTGATTACTGGGCTGTGCTACTTGCCTTGGAAACCAGCCGGACTTGATTACCGTCGGTCTCGATGCCATAGTTGTGTTTGGCAACAGCCGAATCATGGATATGAAGGGACTTCGAGATCTTCAGGCCGTAAATGGCAGCGCCCTGTGCCACAGCCGATCGTCTAATGCCAAATCTCACCATTAACACAGGAACTTTGGGGGTGAGCACAGCTCTAGATTGTTGTTGACACTTACGACAAAGACGCTGGGGAAAACATGACAGGAAGTCCTTTGGTGCGGTCTCGAATTCCGGCACGCAGGTAAGGATTGCAGGCAAATCCTCCTGTGACGAAAAGATACTGCGTATGCAACCAAAGTCAATGTTCATGAAGTTGCTGAAGCATGTAGGGTGTCCGGAGCTACCTTTGGGTCTTTTTGTGTTCGGCTATGCAGCTCTTCGACTTGGGAACGAATCAGACGAACAATGCTGTCCACGGCAAAGTCAAGGATTGACGATATCTCCTGGCTGCAGCATTTCCCATGCAAGAATTAGCGAGCGATACAGGTGCCCAGGAGAAAATGGTGCCATGTACCTGAAAATTGGGAGCTCCCCTTTCTCAAGCCATCGAGAGTATATCTGGGACGCACTCGTTTTGGTAGCCTGGAGTGAAGCTACCGGCAGACGAAATGTCCACGTTTGCGAGCCATTAGGTATCATACTGGGCATGATCTCCGTCTCCCAGCGCTGGACTGCTTGTTCCCAGAACAGCGAATCTAAGGCAACTGTATCGGTAAGCAACATCTTCGCTTTGTCTTCTAGCAGTTTGATAAAAGCATCTGTCATGAGACTAGCTCCGCAAAGTGTACTGGTTGGGACTGTGATAGGCTTGAACCCGAGAATGGCCTTTTCAGAGGTAATTGCGCCACAGACAATGTCCTGGAGAACTTATCAGATAGAGATATCGCATGATATATTCAGAATGAATACATACAAGAGTAAGACCGCCGCAGTCTGCTAGCATCGTTTGGTCGCCAACCTTCATTTCACATTAGCACCGAGTGTTCACAAAGGTGACAAGGGCCAATAATGACAATAACAAGAGGTGGTCATACCTGGAGGTCAACATCACAAAGCCTGCCATCGGAGATATCATCATCTTGAACAGCCCTAATGATGGCTTCCATAGCCGCTTCGGCCTCGTTGAGTAGCATTACGGTATAGTTGGTCGTGAGTTTTGCCAGAATTGACTTGTTGAAAGCCTCTTGAAATTGGTGGTGTGGCCAGCCCACCGGATAAGTTATGACGGCCCTGAGACTACAGCCCTCGTATGTTGTTCCTGGAGTGAATCCAAGCTGTGGCCCACATTTGGTCCAGAGTTGATCGATATAGTGTGCCAAAACATCAACTGCCTTCAAATGGAGATGATTCCTGGTCTGCATGGAGTTCACAAGAACAGACCGATTCTTTGTGTCAGGGTGCCAGTCGTCCTCATGTAGCATAGAGTACTTGAAGAGCCGAAGTCGTTGCGCGCCCGGGGCAGTATCATAGCCCCAGCCTATAGGGGTGCTCTGATTGTTGTAGTACAGGACTGTGGGGGCTACTTGCTCAAGGCTAAACGCGTTGGTAGATTGCTCAAAAATACACATTTTCAATTCCTGATTGGATGGCGCGACATATGATACCTTTGAATACCTTTTGGATGTCAGTAAAAGCTGTTGGATTGCACTCAGGGTTAGTGTTGTAACTCCTTACGTTGCACCAATGTCTAATCCGATGATAAACTCGTTCTGAGACATCGTGCCAGCTACTTGACGTAGTATCGGTTGCAGCGCAATGGCCAGTAAATGTGGCAAACAGTGCTGTTGTCGAGTCCTGAGAATGGGAGTCCTCGGTCGTGGATTTGTCGATTAGGTGTAGGTTTGGCAACAATTTGAGGTTGGTGTTGAGTTATATATCGCTGTGACAGGTTCACGTCAGCTCTGGAAATTTTTGATAGCCCTCCTCTGGATTGCGAGACTACATTTCCTGTGGTCTTTTTTTAACCCAGATGCCTGTCATGGCTGCATCTAGAGGAGCCAGCTGCTTGCCCATCAACACCAATCACTAACCTTCTTCTTTATTTTCGAAGCGAGTTGTCATATATATTTTATGATATATTGTATCTTCTGCTTGGCATCTTCTCATATGAATTTTGAACCAAAGCTGGATGATATTTGACTAATCTTATTTCGAACATTTGATCTACTGCACGGACCCTTGCGTTGAGGTAAGTCAGCTGTGAGTGGTTTGACCACTTCAACATAAGATTGTTATTTTCTTTGCGTCTTGAATCCGAATTTATTAATTTCTCTCATATCATGACGTTTGGGTGGCTTCTGGATTGTTGTCAGAACGAAGGCTTACACCGTGTTTTGTGATTGGAGATCGTAGTATCTCACAACGCTTACTTACCCTCGATCTCCTATTCACGCAATAGCACTCAAAGAAATTCTGTGCAAATTTGGCTGCCTGGTTGCGGCAATTGAATTGCTCCGAGAAACGCCTCAATTACTTTTGAAACTAGATTCATTTCTTTGTGCTTACTCAACTCGGAATGACCGTGTAGGTAGGTCTTTGTTGTGAGAAAATGCTGGCTGTCATATTCTGACTCGCGGCCGTGCTAGCTCGTTTCTTCAAGACAAACCACAGGATATGTCTTTGTCAATTGACACCAACATTTTGACTAGCTGTGGCCACAATTCTCTTGCCTACGTACTTATCCCCCACCCTCTTTCGGTCCAGTCTTCTGATTAGCCTTCTATGGCAACATCACCCTTCTAAGTTTAGACAATTCTACTCCGCCGCCTGCCGCCTCCAAAACCCGTTCCCTTGCTTCTCTCCGCAAAGAAAAAAGGCCCACTGTGCCTGCCACCGGAAGCCTTACGAGGGAAAAGGGCGACAAGAGAAAGGTAGATGACCATCTGAAGAGTCCTATTGGAAACGGTGAAATCTCCCAAGAGCCAATTCCCAAAGATCGTGGCCAAAATCTCACCAGCGACATGCCCCGGGACAATCAAAGTCCTCCATCCTCCACGGAGAAAGGATTGGAAAAGGCGCCCGTAACGGAAGAGAGCTCTTCAGCGTCTACACTGGGCCAGGCAATCACCGATAGAGCATGCAGTCTCGAACGCACTTATCTCGAGATGAACGAAGGCCCCTTCAGTCGTGAAGCCATCGAGCTGGGAGTGAAAAACTTGCGGTAATTGATTGAGGTCATCGGGCTAGAGATTTGGTGTAGTGATAAGGTTGTAATTGCGTACGAGGCAGTCCAGACAGCAATTGCCTTTGTTGCCTCCCTCTTCTCCACCTCAGCGACCTGGGCACAGCTGAAGCCGGCTCAGCAGACCAAGCTCCGAGCATGGGCACCCAAAGCCGAGCAACTCATGGACAGTCCCTCTGGAAGGCGGGCTCTCTTCTAGGCATGGGTGTAGCACATCCTTGATGATGCTATATTCTCAGCAGACCCTTCCGCCAAATGGGACGCGTTTGAAGACATGATGACACCATGGCTTTTGGTGGGCCAGACCATTAACATCTTCAAGAGTAGGAGCTCCAACATAATAAGAATTGGGTCAAGTATTAGTGAACCTCGCTAACACCTACACTTATCTGTTGCAGGATATGACACTGGAGACTCTGACACATGGGCCGTTGAATACCACATCTGGAAGGCACTGTCCGCCGAGCTTGCTCGTAAGGTGTCTAATGGGAACCGAAGCTGGAGGGAGAGGGCAAATGTGTCGAACTCGTCACGACCCTTGCCCTCGTGCTCCATGGCAGGAACCTCAACCGGGATTATAACATTGTTAACTGGGATACTTTGCACTGGTTGCGGCCAATTCACGCTGTTGTCGGTGAGCTCCCAGGCCCGGATATTGATAGGCCGTCTTGAGGTGGGGATTTATGATATGTGGAATTGCGGAGGCCGTGGATGATGTCGACGTTACCAAGTCGCAACCACGCCCTGGATATATACGAATATTCGTGTCATGCGACAGTGCTATTTGTTTTCTACGTTCTTTCTACATCTTCCTGGCCAAGTGTTACGCTCGTGAGTGTCATGGCTACACTGCCTGCAGATACAGGTTGAGTGGCCTTCGTAGAGCTTAACACTAACAAATAGAGGCGCCTCACAAATAATGTAAAGGCTAAGAGAGCCTCCTACTGGAAGTAATGCATTCTGCCAGATTGCACTTAATGAGCCAATACATTTAAGACTCTATCAATTATACCTTACGAGTAGACAAGCAGACTGAAGTGTCGTTGCCTCGAACTTGTCACATGTAGCTCTCGTGAGATGCAGGGATTGAAGAGTCCTCCGGCGCCTGGAAAGCGGTAAAGCAATACCCGCTGTTAGCTAGCCCACAGGGGATTAGTGCCCATTACCCGACCTGTTAGTGGCGCCTACTGACCTTACAGCCCTGCGCATCACCTAGGACTGTCGTCACCACCAAGCTTCAAGGTGGAGGAGAGCTTGAACAGGACAAGTTCAGCAACTCGTCATCACCATCCCGCCGAGGATGATTGATCCATTGATCACAGGAACCTTCATCTAGCATCTACTGAAGATTCTCCTGATCAACTATGTCGCCCTCGGTATCTCTACGATCAGTTCTGTCCTACGCCGGCAGACTATTCTCACAGCTTCTTTTCTCCAATGACCTACCGCATCCGCTCGCAATATTAGATGCTCCGGCCAGCCTTGATGCGCCATTTATGTCCTCGAGTTGCCCACGGGATGGGCCCCTGAGCTGTCATAACAGCACGCCTGTGGCGGGCGAGTCGTGCTGCTTCGTATATCCCAGCGGGAGGCTATTGTTGACGCAGTTCTGGGATACACATGTGCACGATGGGGTGTCGGATGCAGATTGGACTGTTCATGGACTATGGTTAGTGACCTCGGCTTTCTTCGTCCCTTGACACGTTTGCGGCAAGGTGATCATCACGAAATATCGCAAATGCTTCTTTCACCAAAACCACGGGGCTAACATTACTGTCTGAATAGGCCCGACCTTTGCGACGGATCATATAATGCCTACTGCAACATGGCTCCACACTTCGATAATATCAGTGCCGTCCTTGCGCACCACGGGCAGGACGAATTGCTCCAATTCATGGACCGATACTGGGTAGCCGACCGGGGCTCGAACGCGCACCTCTGGGCGCACGAGTACAACAAGCACGCGACTTGCATCAACACCCTGGCGCCCTCTTGTTACGGGGATGGATATAACACGGGCGTCGAGGTGGTCGACTACTTCGTGCGGGCTGCGGCGCTCTTCACCAAGCTTGACACGTACACGGCCCTGGCAGACGCCGGCATTGTGCCGAGCCAGCGGGCGCACTACCCCCTGATGGATGTGCAGAAGGCGATCGAGCAGTTCAGCGGGGGCAAGGTCGTGCTGCGGTGCAGCGGTGGGAGGAGGGACATCCTGCATGAGGCGTGGTACATGTTCTTCGTCAAGGGGAGCCTGCAGACGGGAGAGTTTGTTCCTGCGCAAGATCTAGGCCCCAAGGGGGACGCAGGAAACTGCGTGCCGTGGGTGCGCTACCTGCCTAAGCGATCAAAGGGTCGTCGGTCATGAGGGGGGCTGATCTGGATGATCTGTGGGATATTTCAAGGCCTAGATCATTGGCGTTTGGTAATACCAGCATATACATGTATAAGCGGCGTCTTAATTCCGCATCGGGGTCGTCACGAAATAGGTCGGTCGACAGGCAATGGACTCATGACACGTTCAAGACAGGCATTGGCAACAGCAACGGCAGGATCAACAGGGCCGAATCGTTGTGACATCTTTGAGCATTCTCTGCTTTGCATAACTATTATAGCCCAGCCTCATGGGCCACCAGTACTCGCTTATATTGCCCCTGAGAGGCAGTGATCTCGGCGAACGAAGGTATCAGAGCTTGAAATTTGAGGGAGGACGTCTTGCCACTATCAAGCTTACTGTCGCAATCGAGCGACATGAGGCCGACGCCCTTATTGAAGCAGGACCAAGCCGCTGACCCAGGCCAGAGCGAGCTCGAGCTCCGAGCACCAACGAAGAGCGGACACAGCGGAATAAGGTATGAATGAGGCATAGGCCTCGACCGTCGCGGCTGTCTGCCCAATATAACGCATACTCACCGTCCTTAGCAGAACCAATAGTACACTGAAAGGATCGCCGTTGGCGACGAATCTCAAGCAAAACGATCGGACCGAGCAAGCCACACTGCAACGGGGCTCCATATGGCGAGTGCGGAGGAGGCGCTGGACTTTTGCTATCATCGGGCCGTCTGTCTGGAGCAGTGGAGCATCAGCGAGTTGGCAGACACCATTCCCCGCAGTGCGGAAGCAATGCCTGTCTTCGTCCCAAGGAGAAGTAGATTTGCCAATTGATAGTAGAAGCCAAGTAAGCAGGCGATCAGACATTGTCATTGTCGTCGGAGCGCCGTCGGCGTGCTTGACAGTTACGCGACTCCGAGCTTGAGAACTACTCGCCCCGATCCACGACTTCAGAGTAGACGGCCAGCAGGGTGACAATGGAAGTGGCCGAAATCCTCCGGCTGCCAACCCCCTCACCACCGCTGATGCAAGGCTGACAACTCGGCGGTCGGAACGGTGATGAGGCTCCAGCCACCCAGGCCGCACTGGGCCATCAAACTGTAATAACAACCGCTTCGAGAGGCACTTCAAATACCTTCCAGTTGGAAAGTAACAATTTCCGAGGGTTTTGGTGCCAAAATGCGTTGTAACGCTCGCCATCACTCGACGGTGAGCGCATCCCCATCTATCAGCCTCGTCGGCCCTTTGCGCTTTAGCTTGTTGCGGGCGGGCACGGGGTCGCTTCGAACCGGGCAAGACATCAGGAATATTTTCCTGGAGAACTCCGCTTTCCCCAGCTTCGCATAATCATCGTTTCCAGGCGGTCTGGCATGACAACCCCGCCTCAGCACCATCTCTGGACGGGACGGCGAATTTGCATGCTGACCGGTCGGCGCCTCTCACGGGATAGGAGCAGTGTTGATGCCAGGTTGCTGGTCGATGCCTCAGGCCATCAGTTGAGCAATCACCATCATATAGGGGGATGACGCATCTCTCACAATTGCTGTTCCAGGACTGCGGTAGTGTAGTCATAGATCGTGCGGCTCTGACAGGAATGATCCAGGAATATGGCACTCGAATTGACTGGGCGGCGGCGGCGGCGCAGTGGGAGGGATATGCCTAGCTTTAGTATCACCACTGTGGCAGGTCGACGCAACGTTGACTTTCGGGGAGCACGAGCCTGCGGTGTGCCTGTGCTTCGCTGAGATGTGCTGCGCTACGTGCGATGCCAGACCGACATCCGCAAGCCGTTCGTTCATCGAATGGCTGACACCCTCCCTCCCCATGCAGTCTCACGGGATAGGATGGAGGAGCCGAACATGGGATGCCGGGGCACGCGTGAAATCCCGTTTGTGGCTGCTGCTTTTACTAAGTGAACTCGTTTATGCTACCCTCATTAAGAGTCCTTCAACAGAACCACAGATTACGACGAATGCGCAGCTTCTAGCATTCCCATCGTTCGTGACTACAGCATCTACTCGAGTGCGACCCTTTTGGGATGTTTCTGGGTCGCATGAAACAGCAGCAAGCCACATCCTCGGGAAGGGTCAAGAACGGGTTAGCATAACCCTGTCTTGTATCATATTGCCATATTGCGACAGCGATGAGAGATGAGCTTTCATCCTTCGCATTGACTGTGGCTCGCGCTATCAAGTTGTTCGCGCGACCCTGTCCCAGTTTGACAGCACCTTTTTAATAGCTAAACAGCGCCTGAAAACTGGGGAGAGGAGAGACAAAAACGGTGCTCCCACCCACACAGGCTTGAGAGCGCAATTGAATTCATTCAAGGGTGGAGTGCCAGACAGGAACAGACCAAGATTTGCCTACTGCGTAGTACCTATCATGGTTATGCTGCATAAATCAGTGGAGATGTGCAAATAATGCAACGGTGCAGGCTCTGATTGGGCAACCAAAGGCAGCTCAGTGCGGGCTAAGGCAGATGGAAGGCGGATGGAAGTTTTCCATGGCCTTTCGAACGGGGAGCCCGACATGGATTTGCGGGTGAGAGTCATGATCTGCCCACCGTTTTTTCTCACGGTGGCCAGGATCAACCACCGTTTTGTACCGCGAGGATGCACAATGCAGCGCATCTCACTCAGGTCAGTCAGCACCACGCTGTGACCATAGACGAACGAGGGTTATGTTATGCAGATGAAGCCCAACGCCCTGCCTTGCTAGTGTAGTGTTGCTGCCAAATATATTGTTTTCAATGCACCAGCACAAGCATGTATTGGTCTTAGACAGAAGGGGTTTGGCGAATGCCGATCAATTTCAGTCTTCCAGGGCACCCTAAAAGGCGCGTCGCGAGAGGTGAGCCACAGCGGGTGCGTGTCTTCATCTGCTTCCGCCTCTCTGCCAGAGAAAGTCTCAAAATACCTGCCCGAGCTTACCTTACCCTTCCGTAATCACGATTAGAAAACAACAGAAAGACGGTGATGCCGCGTCAGTTGCTGGTGAAGGCCATTGTGTGCCGGTTTGGATGCCACTGTCACGAGCTTTGAGGACGAGTCTCCAGCTAGGGGCAAACTAATAGAATTTAGCACCGTGGCCATTTTGCAAGAGCCGAGGAATCCGTCATGGAGCGCGCGCACAGAAATGACGAGCCCGTTTGTAGCCTCCAGTCTTTCTGATTATTTGTCAATCGTGTGCCACTGTGTATTGTCCTCCCTCTTGCCGGTCTCAGCCACAGGGGAAGCCCCAAGACCACTGGATGACGTGGAGGCATTTGCTTCAGGTCTCTCCTTGCTTTGAGCCTCCTCACCGGCTCACCTTCGTGATCATATGACGACGGCCGTATGAGAAGCAAGAGCTGACCGTAGGGCAACGGAGACCTCTGCCGGAAACCGGCGGTCTTCTGGACATTCCCGGCAAATGCGAATCGTGTTCGAAGGCGAAAGGTGACGATACTACTGGATAGTAGGCATTCTGGGCGCTCGACTTTTCGTATTGTCACGAGATGTGCACCTTCGTCAGCGGCCCTCCGGGGCTGGTTCGTGCGTTTCCTTTCACTCTTCTGCGGGATGTGGACGGGCGAGACTCGCCAGAGACTTCGCCTGGGCTGGAGAGTCAGGTGAGGCTCGATGTATTCAACGAGTCGACAGAGTCAGGATCGCTGCGACGGGACAGAGGCCTATGACCAATCGTATTACAGGCGCTCAGCCCATTTGACTGATTTTTAGCTGCAGTTTGGGCTTGTGTCGTGCGACATGACTGGAGGGAGGCAGGAGGGCAAGTGCCGTACAACGTTACGGAGAGTCAGCGAAATTAACCCTCCTCCCACTCCTCCCCCCCCCGCCCCAGGCCAGCTTGACAACCCCCGGGCCCTCAGGCAGAGGACACGAAGTACCGCTTCCTCTTTGCTCGCCTGGTGAGTGACTTGGCCGTTATAATCCATTGCTAATAGACTGAGGAATTCTGGGCCTGAGACACGCCAATGCGAAGATTTCAGGTGGTTTCTAACACCGCCGACCCCCTAATCTCGCGCCGTTTTGCAGTGTTTTCGCCCCCAAGAAGCACTGGCTGCACTGACTAGAGGCTACCAAGCTGAGCATAGTCTACCTAGATACCTCCGTTTTCACCGTTATTTCTTTTGGTACTGTACGTACCTCCGGCGCAACGGGGCCAGCCCTGGTCGTTCTTTCTTCTCCTCAAAATGCCCCAAATTAGCCCCCGTCAAAGCAGCAATGAGCCAGCCGGGGGCCAGCGGGGCTCCTTCTCAATTTGTGCAGCCCCAGTCGTTCGAGCCAATGCGAGTTCGCGCCTGCCGTTCCACTCGTGCCAGTCCCGACCGACTTCAGCTAGCCCAGCAGGAAAGAGTGAAGAGACGAGAGGGAAAGAGAGAACCTGGAGGAGCGCGCAAGGAGGGACTGACCGTTTGTATCTACCGTAATAGAAAAGTCTATAGAACAAGACAATGCGGGAAAGCCCAGCCCGCACAGCACAGCACAGCACAGCACCCACCGATCGCACCTGCACCTGCCTGCTGCACCCACCGATCGCACCTGCACCTGCCTGCTGCACCCACGAACGGCCCTTCGTCTCCTCATTTTCCCTCCCATCCACCCTCCACCCATCCGCTCTCTCCCCCCCTGCCCACCGCTCCTCCTCTCCTGTTTCCCCGTCTCGCTCATTCATTTGCTCTCCTCCCCCTTCCCAACCCAAACTACCACTACTCTTCTTCTACCAAAACAACATCACGAACAGACAAACACCGCCTTTGCTTGCATCCTCGTGCTTCACGACACCGCTGCAAGCACAGTCTCTTCACTTTCCATCGGATTAAAGTTCTGGTACCGCCAACGCCCTGCCAACGGTCACCCGGCCCCGGATTTTCTCGCCTGATCCCCCCGCGATTCCCTGGAGATCCTATCCAACCCACCACTCAATTCTTGTACGGGCCGATTACACTCCCCAAGCTGCATGCAATCACTCCTGGAGTCTCCACGATCCCCTTGATCCCCTCCAGGCTCCCCCAGAAGGAAAATACAGTTTGCCGAGACAACGAGGCGCCCATGCGCGACCACTAGCTGCGAACGCAATCGTAATTGAATAAAACCACAACCTTTTTCCACAAGCATTTGATTCGGACGCGAGACGGATCTCACCACGGACTCGATTCAGCATTCCGCCATGTCGACCGCCGTCAAGCGGGCTTGCGACGCCTGCCATCGTCGCAAGGTCAAGTGCGATGGGATTAATCCGTGTCGAAATTGCTCTTCGGCCCAGCTGTCCTGCACCTACAATGCAATCCCACAGAAGAAGGGGCCCAAGGGCTCGAGAGCCAAGGTCATCAGTGAATTGAGGGAGACTCAGCGCCAGACCAGCCTCTCTGCAAAGGTCCAGAACAGAATGAACGGGATCAACAGCCCGCCATCGAGCCCAAGCCTGGCACCCACCCCTGGCCTCCTTACGAGCGAGATGGTTAAGGACTGCATTGAATTCTTCTTCGCCAACATGTATCCGACGATGCCTATCCTTCACCGTCAACGGCTCGAGCAGCAGGCCATGTATATGGACCAGAGCCTCGACACCTACTGCCTGCTCACCTCATTGTGTGCCTTCATGATGATCCAGCCAGGAATGGGAATGCCCGGAGGCGACCCATACGGACTTGACAGCATGCCCGGGGCTAACATTGTTTCTGGCACCTTGTTGATGGAAGAGACCGTCCGTGTGCGCAAGGCATACGACTATCTTGATTCACCCACTCTCAACACGCTCTGCACCAGCTATTTTCTCTTCGGCTGTTACTATGGACTAGACCTCCACGACAAGGCTTGGTTCCACCTTCGAGAGGCCACAACACTTGCCCATCTCATTGGAATGAACAAGGAGGACACATATTTGCAGTATGACAGCGTTGAGGCGTCCAGGAGACGTCGTCTCTATTGGCTGCTGTTTGTCACCGAACGGTATGTTTAAGACAATGACCCGCAACGTCTCACTTTATTCTTGCAAACTAATGACGATCATCTCAGAGCCTATGCCTTGCAGCGCCACCGACCTCTAACACTGCAAGCCACTATTAACCAGCCCACACTCGGCGATGACCCAGCCGACCCCTTGGCTCACCATCTGAACGGCTTCATTCTTCTCGTGAATCTGTTCCGGCCCTTCGACGATGCCTTTGTTGCACTGTGGAACAAGGGTCGCAATGACTGCTCCGCATCGTATCTATCCGCCCTCCAGAAGCAGCTGAATGAAGTCTTGCCGCCTTACTTAAATGTGGCTGACACACAGCTCGCCGACCTCCGCACTAATCAGCAGTGGCTGAAGACGATGACATGGCAATTGTCCATGAACAGTGGCAACCTGAACTCCAACGGAAACGATCCTCTGATGTCCTTCCAGTATCCCATTAACATCGCCGGCGATGTATTGTCCGCTACTTCGTCAGTATCTCAGCAAACACTCGAGCTGCTCGGAGTGCCTTTACTCGCAAAGTTGTTCGATATTGCTTGTGCTTTAACAGATGTGCTGTCATTGCAGCCAGCATCCCGAGATCCATTCACAGTTGGCCCTCGTGAGCACCTCCGTCAGCTCATGAACTTGCTCTCCGTTCTTCGTAACGGCGATCACCGCTTTATGCCACTACTGCTCAGCAAGGTTCACGAAGTTCTCCCACGTCTGGCCAACCCTATGCTCCAAAACGTTCCCGAGAATGCTTGCAATGTGGATATTTTCGACGGCTTCGGAAATGCCGGCATGGCTCAGCCTCCCGTCATGTCCGAATATGAGAAGAAATTTCCCGTTCCCCGTGTTGAGGAGTTGAGCAACGAATCTGGCAGCCCTCAAAATGGCGCTCCACCATCATCGAACGACATGAGCTCGCCCTTTGTCAGTTCTCCCCCCATTCTGTCTCCTCCTATCGAGTTTTCGTCGCAGGGGTATAGTTCCATGTCCGACATGGTGATGAGTCCCATGGGAGCTGGTCCATCTTCGGCCTTCAATAATCCCGCCACTTCGAACCCGCAACAACCGCAACAACATCCTTCTATGTCTGCCATGCAGAGCATGAATGCTCAATTGCAAAATGGCATGGGCCCTTCCATGAATCAGCAAAACATGGGCATGGACCAGAACCAAGTGATGAATCAGGGCTTCAATCCTAACATGGGACAGGGGATGGCGAACACATTGAGTTCGATGGGTCAAATGTTGGTCAACAGACAAGGCCCCGCGCGTGCCAACAGTTACAACTTGGCGGGACCTCAAATACGAACTATTGGTGACTTCCACGCCTTACAACGAGCAAACTCGGACATGAGCACGATAGGCAACTTGGGTATGAACAACAGCCTGGGAACGGAGTTAGACTTCAACACGTTGAGGTAGTAACGCGAGTGAAAACGCTCGGTTCCATTGTTCGAAAACACCGTCGCGTCAAGAACGCGCGACGGTACTTGATGGCGACGTCTTCGAGATTATGAGATTCATTCTATAAGGCATCGTCCACCGTGGCTCACCCAACCTGACGCACCTGTGCTACTACAGAGTTACAGTGTTGTAATCACCCACATTCCCTTTGTCACATTCCATCATAGCGTCATTATCTATTATATCCATCAATCGTCAGCCCGATACATATTGGCGGAGGGCTGCCGATCCCGTACTGAGAGAAAAGAGGCACGAGAAACGAGCACAGTCAAAAGTTCACAGACCAAACAAAAAGAGACGTTGCGAAGTACTCGAAGTTTAGCGGAGGAGCCCCGAAGTGGACCATGTACAAATTTTCTTCTTTGTCTTCTGCACCTTGAGTCACTGGCGTTCGTATGGCGAAACCTGGGCATTGGATATGTTTGTTTTGCAGGTGTTTAGGCTTACCCACCTTGGTTTGGAATAAAGAGGTAAAGCAGATGAGCTTCGATAATCTGTCATCTAGCTGTTGAGCGTGCAAGTAAATCGGTGGATGGCACACAAACGTGGTGGCTGAATGAGAATTTTCTGATTTGAGCTACTCCATATTCATCAATAGCAAGTAGGAAAGAGAATTGTCTATCAACTCAGCGAAACGGTCTCTATGAAGTGCATCTGTTGGCTTATCCCAATTCTGTTCTGCACTCCGACCATCTTGACAATCGTCGCTGCGACAAAAAGCATGAGGGCATAAGTTGTTCAGTCCGACAACGATCCCTTACATGCTTGGCTCCGCAACCCCAGCCCGGACTGACGACTACAGGCTATTTTACTTCACACTCTACAACTTTATGCCGCCCTCCCGTTCCCAGGTCATCGGCGCACCTATTGTCGCCACCGCGGTGGTATCGTTTGCTCGTCTACTCTACATCAACAGTCAAAGTCTACGGATCTTCTTGACGGCCTTGCCCCAACTTCCCCAAGCAATCACCGAGAAGCAAATCAAGCTAGGGAACTTGGAATAGAGGCCTGTATCTGCGAATGTCCGGGCGCATGGAATGCTATATTGAGATCCATCCACAGCACAAGCGCTGCTGAGCGAGCGGTAGTCCGTCGAGTCCGTTGTAGTGGGTGTTGAAGTCAATGAATTAAGACGTGATGGAGGCGCGAGGAAACCGCTGCTAGGACGTATAAAAGGGGTTCAGGTCTCGGCACGTAGTCGGCATGTAGTCAATATCAACAGCCCTCCACTGGTAACTCAAAGATCCTGCTTCAGTTGTCTCTTGCACTTTCGGATTCCTTCTCACATCACTCTGGCTAGTTCACACAGATACCACAGTTTGAATCGAAAACAATGGCTGTCTCCGCCACCGTCCCCGTCGCGAGCTATGGCAATAACTCGCAGGTCGCTCAAGAAGTTCGGGCACAGCTGCTGCCTGAGTATGATGGCACGTGTTCCACTTCCGCAGGGGCGACAGACGTCTACCCGGCAAGGATGCTAACGCGTTTGGCGCTCAGTGGTTCATATTTGTCTAGATCTTGACGCGGCCACCGCCGAGCTGCCGGCCGTCTGCGCCGGTGACCTGGACGCCGACCCGGCTTCCGGGCTGGGCACGAACGCCACCCTGCCGGCTGGAGAGAGGAGGGTGCCGAAGGCGGTCATCTTCGGTGGAGGCATCCCGGACGAGGAGGTCGCCAAGGTCGGCGATGCGGTGAGGGCGAGCGCGCCTGGAATCAGGTTCGTCAAGGTTGCGAGGCAGGAGGTGCTGGATGCTGGAGCGGAGAAGCCGAATCCAGAGGTCATTGTCGGAATCCTGAGAGGAAAGCTTGCTGGCTTGTGAATGAATGTTTGTTACATCATCGAGAACCCTTGGTCACGAGATAGACCCATAAATGGATGTGAATGATATGCTTATTCAATGGTGTAAACCTGGTGAAGAGTTACATTAAGGACATAATCGGCCATCGGCCCCCTCAACCAATGCAAACCTGGTATATGCTGTACACTTTTTGCCTAAACTTTATGCCACGAGCTATTGAAGGCACGTTTCTCAGTCTCATTTTGATACAGAGTCGGTCACTTTTTCTGTGACCTCGGCCACCTTGCTCTTGATGGCGCCGACGTCGCCAGTGGCAGCCAACCTGTCCTTCCCACCCCAATAGTGGTAATCTACATAACGATACGCCTGGGTGAACTGAGCACCGGCATTGACGGTATGGCACGCAAAGAGGAGGTAGTTCTTTGGTGTGACGGCCAGGGAGTACCGCATGAAAGTGAGGGCATAGATGCAGAGCGCACCGGTCATGCCTCCCGAGATACTGGGCACGGGTCAGTACCAAGATTCGGCTGTCTTGTTGCAACTGAGTCCTTACAGCTCGGGACTCTTTTGCGCGTCCGCAATGGCGGCGAGCGGAATCCCAAAGTTGGATGCCGGGCCCCAGAAATCTGCCATTCACGTCAGTCCCTCAGCTCATCGACCATCCAGGCTGTGCCTTCGCAACAAGCCCCCATTGAGTGTAGCTCTCATGCGAATGAGTGCAGACAGTCCTCGGTCAGTTCCATAGCCGATTCGACTCTCAATGGCTCATGGCGGCCAACACCAACGGGGAGGGGGGCTCGGGGTCAGGCCGATGAAAATTTCAGGGCACTCACGGGTGGAGCAGAAGTAGTCCGTCACCGGGTTGGCCCGGATGCGGGCGTTGATGCTCTTGATCACTGCAGCAGCCATATTTGGGGTTTGAAGACGCGCGGCGGTGGCTTCTCGCAGAGACGGGGCAAGGAGGTTGGACGGTCGTTATGAGATGATTGAGGTCCGAAAAAGGTGAGTCAGGGGTGCCGGATGGGCACGGCTGCGGCGCTTTGCATTCCGGTAACGGGTCCGTAACGATCTCCGCTAGCGGACTTAGTCACCTTGGCGAGTTTTTAAGTCCGTGGGGCGGTTTGTTTTTAAAAATAAAAAATAAAAAGGATTTCTTCAACGAAGTAATTCAAAGAGGCGGTTTTTGACAGACAGTAGATGAACCTGGTTATGGTTTATTGTGTTGAGTTTTGAAGCGATGGCTCGCGGTCAGCCCTGCAGCATGTTCTTCGTTATGCTGAGTGAGAGGCAATACACTCTTCTCTCAATATTGTCCTTGCCTTGCGGATTGGCCCACCTCACGGATTGGCCCACCTCAAACCAGTCTAAATGTGCTTGGTGTCGGGCTCTCATAATCTTCAATGGTGTATGCATGAGATAAGAACATATGCGACCACCGCGGGACCCATGGCTCATTAGTCGCAGACACACAGGGTTGCTCGGCTATTGACACGACAAGTCCCAGCCGTTTGTACTCGGGGATGGCCTGAGACTTCCAGCTGTGCGCACGAGTTACCAGCAGAGACCAGTAGCGTCGTTCATCTTGTTTATGTGCTATAGGCAGAAGGTAGAGTTCTTTTAAGTCGGTGGACAAGATGTCGTCAAGGGAAATCCGCAGGAAGTCATCCGTGATGAGCAGGTTTTGGTTGTCAAATCCATCGTATTTCCCTAGTGAAATCAGTCGACCGACGACAGTGATGTAACCGCTCTGTATTCTTCCAAAATCATCCAAGGCATGTGGCTCAGTGTGTGCATCTTTGACAGCTGCAAGTGGTGTGTATCCCTCGGGGAGAGTTTGGAACTTCACTCCACCTGTCACGGATGCCCAAGACCATGATGGCGCTACTACTGGGAGCTGGACGTTTTTTGCAAATGCAACCCCATCATCCTCTTCGCTGACGTAGGCTCTTCTGCGTGAACGACTTCCGGTAGTCTCCCAGAGAAGGCACTCGGCGAGAGATTGAGCCCAGAGTCCAGCGAAGTAGCCAGTCTTCATCACGGATGCAAATACCTTCGCGAGGCCAGCAATGGCATCTAGCCTGTCAGTGTATCTACTGAGCGAACATGCCGAATACTGCGTGACAGTTGACTTCCAGAGTGACAAGGTATCCTTGCTTCCAAGCCCTGCGCTCCAGACTTTAGTGCTCGGTTCCGTGGGAAAGATGCAGAGATCTATATCGAAGATCTTGATCAGCGTCTCACGACATTCCCAAACAATTGGCTGTGCAAAGTGTATAGTGCGTGGGGAGAGGAGGTGCTCCTGGACAACCCATGCTCGATCGCTCAGTGGGTATGTATCGGCCTTTGATAGACGCACTTGGCCCTCGTGGAGTTGCCTTGTGACGACGCTACTATCATCAAGCGTGACACTATAGGAGCTTCTTGAAATAAGGTGTGTAGGTGTCTGCTCTTCAGACCACGCGGAAAAGAAACCATCCTCGACATGCGTTGCAGTCGATGCTGCAAGTGTCACAATTGCATTTCGATATACGAGAGACATTGCAGCTGCTTCTCGTACCCAGTCTTCGTCAAGATCCTGGATTATACAAAGGGAGTCGATCCACAGATAGGGTATGCCAAGCTGACGAGTTGCCGTTATGGCATCTTGGAAAGTTCTTCGGAGGGCTCTATATGGCAAATATTCGCGAAACAGTTCGTATGTGTCCTTGGTCAGCTTCTGGAACGGCTTCGGTCCCCACTGGTGACTGAGAGCAACGTAGCGTCGATCTCGGTTTCGTGGGATCTTGAAGGACGGGACTAGCAAGGGCCGAGATGAAGTGACATCGATCAAGCGTGTTGGGAGCCAGCCAGAGTCAGTATCTTGTCGACAAGCCGGATGAGATGCTAGGCACTCATCAAGACAATGTCGCATCTTCGCATACATCAAATCTGGTGATAGGGCACGTCCTAACATAGGTTGATATGTGTGTGCACCTCGAGGATAGAGCTGCACATCTAGCCGAGCTCCCTCTCCCCAATCGTGGATATCGCATTGTTTCAATGAAAGGTTCGTATTGACCTCGCGACAAGACGGGCATTTAGTAGATGACTTCACAAGTTCATCAAGAGATCTACCCTTCACTTCGAAGCGATGGCCATTTTCATTGTTGTTGCCCGAGTCAAAAGAACAGAATTGGCAGAGCTCATCCTGTGACCGTAGCTGCAAGTTGTCTGTAGGCCCCGGACGGACCTGCACACTTCGTTCCCAGGACATTGCGTGCACCCTTACCTAGGGAGGTAGATGATTTAAGACAATTGTGTAACATGCGTAAACCAGCAATTCCAAGTCACGACGGTTTGGAGTTGGAGTAGAAGCCTAAGCTGGGCGTCAAAGCGACCTGACATATTTGGTGGCGCAGCATGCAGGGTCCGAGGCTGTGCTGCGGTTGAGGAGTGGGTTGACCACCATTTCACAACCTAGTAGAGTCTTATCGACGGCGCTTAAGTTGGTTGTACATGTTCGAAATTGAAGTCAAATCAATGAGTAAGCCGTCAAGATGCAGCCAGTGGAATGAATTTTAGGCATACAATCTTCCAAATCTGTCTCTGATTGGCCATCTGCTTAACTCTTACTGTTAGGAGAGCTTGTCATGATTTTCAAGTTGAGTAATCACAAGGTCGGAAGTAACAACTAAAACAATTCTAGGTCCACTTCCATCTAGGTAGAATATGACATTTGCCTCTCCATACTTTCTAGTTATCATTCAAACAAGAGTGGGATAGAGCCATTTGACGACCATGATTGCTAATGTGACCGGAGCACTCTGGAAGACAGTCACCAACAGCTCGTCAAGGGGGCCGCAAAATCAGCCTGCTGACACACATGTCACGAAGTTACACAGAAAGGATCAGTCCATTTTACTTCAAAGCCCAAATTTATTTATCAGTAGCAACTTCATAACACCTGTTGGTTGGTTGTCAGCAGTCTCCTATTGCAATCTGCCTCGAATCGTAGCCTCGTTTGACCCTCCTATCCAACATATTCACCGAAAATAAGATAATATGATATGGTACTACAAAATTTATATAAAAGGACATAAGGCTTAGTCTTCGAATTGATCAACTTGACATGTAAATCTTTTTTGACAAAACTCAGGCTAAGAATTTTCTCAGGCTTACCATTGCCTATTCTTGCAAGACGCCTCCTCCAAGCATCATGAAGGTATGTCCTTTTCTTTTACTCTAAGACACGGCCAAGCTAAGGAAGTTGAAGTGCTTCAAGTACATAGCTGCAGCGGTATTCGGTTTTGTCGCGATAGCCGTCGCGTTACCCGTTGCCAGCAATGAGCCTAGTGTCCCAAATACAATCATCGCCCGTAAGGCTCACATTGCAGGGGGCCATACTTCCAAAGGTATCGCCGTACGAGATATCACAGATGCAACCAATGATGCACCAGACATGGAAACAGATGGTCGCTCAGGCTACAATTGATTTCGCTCCACATATGAATTGCTGTGAAGAGCTTGCACGGAGGTTCAGGGAGACAACATCAGCAGGAATGAGGAATTATTAGAAGGAAAGCTGCCAATTCTGAGAGATAAGATGGCCTCACGGCACTCTTTTGGAGGTGTGGACATCTGAAGCTGGTTCCCATGTAAGACTGTCAGCCTCATCTGCATGTTGGTAGCGGCGTGAGCGGTTGCTCCGGTATTGCGTTCGAGTATGACCAACACTTTGTTACACAGCCTCGACACAACCAATAGCAGTAACATGTGTGACACTTCTTTAGTAGACTATTGACGAATTTAAACCAATGAAAATCTTCAATAGAAGCCACGAGATAATGCACCGTTAGTTTTCCTGTTTACGATGATAGTTGGTGAATTACTTAGCTATGATAATGTTTTGTAAGCACACGGTTAAAGGTGATCTGATGTGATAGCCAATAGTTGTTCATTTGTCACTGTATCCAATAAAAGAAAAACTAGATCTGAGTTTTGCTTGCGCCAAATCTTAGGCACAGTATTGGTTATTGAGAGATGTATGCGGCCTAGCAAAGAAGATGGGCGACCGATATCAAGCATGCAGACTATCTACAACAGACCGGGTATCCAGATCCCGTATATCACTAGCTTCTCTATGAATTTCATGCGAGAGCTCAAATTGGACAGCATCTGATCTGACAGCAGATGGCTTCCTATTGTGCTCGTCTCCGAACACTCTACCCCATATCTTGTCTTCATATAGACTTGGCTTGTCTTCTCTTACGCCTATGAAATACCGACGAAAGAACCAAGGCAAGTAAGTTTGCATCTGGTACCGCACAAAAGTGCGCTTAGGAACGGCAAAGATCCAGTCCAAGTCTTCTAGAGAACGTCGCTTGGTTTCTTCGACGAGGAGGAAGACTAGGACAAATGCCAAGAGGTTCAGGCCAGCAAAGAGCCCGAGACAACCCCCGTCACCCAAATGAGATATGATGCTATGAGAAATTTGTGGTTAGTACCTAGAGAAAGCCATTCTGAGAAGGATAGATACCTAGGAAAGAAGATAGAGAGCAATCCCGCGAATAGTAGGTTTATGGAGATAGCAAACGCACAGCCTGCCTCGCGGTGAGATAGCGGGAAGCTGTACGTAAACTTAGCATAGCTTTACTCAATTTCAACTAAATTAACTTACCTTTCAGCTGCTAGTGTAAAAGGAATTGGTCCTGCGAACATCAGCTTGTGCTTCTGTGTTGGCACACTGCAAGCTTACCAAGCCCTGGTGAGTATGCTGCAGCAAAAAGATATAACCACATTGCAACTACCCCTATCTTTATATCTTCATTCTTTATTGGAAACGATACGGCGGCTGCCATCATAAATAGACACATGACCGGAAGGGTCATCGTCAACCACTTGCGTCGACCGAGTGTATCAATGGTCCGAATGGCTGGAAGTCCGAAAAGAAAATTTATGCAACCTTTTATAGTCGACACGTTAGATGAGTTGCTAAAAGTCAGTGAGTACGCTGCCATGCACGTACCAAAACCAAAACTGTACTCCATTGCTGTCTTTATATCAGCACCACCATGCGTGAAGAGTGTCCCTTTTGAATGTTAGCTAGCTCTATGTGATTCGAAAGCTCACTTACCTGAGTAGAAAGCGAGGACGTTGACTGAGTTAGGGAAAATATTAGCGGATTCAGCAAAGTGGACCTTTCGGAGGGACAGTAGCTTACTCCCACAAAGCTGTTGTGCTAAGTTTACCGTAGAGCTACTAATTACGGCATTTCTGAGGCGTCTCTCCATGAGAAGCTGCTTATATTGGGTGACAATCTCTATCGTCTTGTAGAGAAAGCCCCGCTGTCTGGCTGTGGCTGGTGTGGCATTGCCATATCCCTCAATGTAATCCTCCTGCTCGATTGACTTATATACCAGATATACATCTCTGAGAGCTTGTAGCTAAAAAAGCGTTTGTTAGCTTAATCATCCAACGTATTGGATTGAAATGACATGTCGATATTTGAGACCTACCTCGGTGTTCCGTAGTCGAAGAAGAATACTGTATGCCTTGCTTGGATTGTAATTCGGACTACTTGGCCGCATGTAGTATCTTGGTGACTCGGGGCAAAAAACCAGGGCAATTAGTAATATCAAAGCCGGGACAGATGGGGCGCCGAGAATGAGGCCAAGCGTGATGTCCTCGGTTGCTGCTGCCGTAAATATCAGATTAAAAACGAACCCCATCATGATACCAAACGCCACCCTAGGTATGCTGTGTTAGTCATAATTCCATTGAGAGAAAACCAAGTGTTTTATACCATAGCTGCCAAGCAAGTATCGAAGATCCTCGCCAAAAACCGACCGCAGTCTCAGATGCTAGGATGGGGGTACTAGACCGATCGAGTCAGTACTTCGAATATGATCCTTGACGTATCCTCAAATTACCTAACAGCTTTGATACCCATGCCTATTCATGTGTTATGATCTAATTCAATATCTCGTTACAACGAAATATGCGGGCGAGACTCACCAACACCGTTTAGTATCCTCACCCCAAACAAAGCCCATGGATCTCTCACGAAAGCAGACCCTAATGAACTCGCCAGAATCAATATGGCAGCAACGACCATAGCTCCCCTCCTGCCCGCAAAATCATTAATAGGCAATGCAAGAGGACAACCTAGCAAAGCCGCAAATAGAAAAGGGGACGCGTTCATTGCACCCAAAATCCAATCGTTGGCCGTGACATTTGTAATTGACTTTGAAGCACTGCTCCCGGCCGAACTTGTTCCATCACCAAGTCCAAAGAGCTTGCGGAAGATTGATGCCCCGTTGATTGACGACTGTACGTGGCCCTGGAGGTAAGCTGCCAGCGAGACAGTCAAGATAATGATGAGCATGCCTCGTTCGGAAAACAGAACATCCTTCTCTCGTTTAAGTGCCAGCTTCTCCACATCCGTTAGTTGAACAGGGAGGTCCCAACCAGCATCCGGTGCATCGTTACGAGCAACATCGTCGTATGTTCGAATGTCTTTAGCCACACGAGCTGCTCTCAAGACCTTGTCACTTTCAACCGAAGGCAAACATGTCTGAGCAAAATATCGAACGTCATCGGTCAGGTCTTCGTCGGACAGATGTGCTACATTATCGTTATTTAGAGTAAGTCGATTTCCATCGAAGCTTGAACCAACCTAGTGGGTTCTCGATGACTGCCCGGTCATTGATTCGTCGTCTTCGTGCCTGGGAATGAAGCCTGTCATGACCCGTGCTAAGTGTTACTCGATCGGCCAGCTCTAAATTTGCAGACCAACGAGAGGGACCATGAGAACCAGGCGTCGAACGTTGATGGGAGAATGAAGGGTTGCGGTCTGCCATGACTTCAAGGGGTTAAGCCAAGTGTCCTAGACTACAATCTCGAAGGAATAGCTGGGCAGGATAGTATAAACTGGTTCAAGTTTTCGAACCTGATGGAAGGTTGAGGGGGTCATTGATGAATTCACAATCTGGCCGGACCCCCTTGAGGCATAATACGCCTTGACAGGGCAGACTCAGGCTGGACACGTGAAGTAGATCAAACAGAAAAGCTCACTCGTTTTCTTGCGATACCCGGAGTGTCAAATTGGCCAGTCTACTTCGAGCCTCGATTTTAGGGGTCACAGGGGATTTTACGAATGACAAATCCCTTTACTGGCATACATTGGAGCAAGGAGCGGTCTCAGTGTAAGGCGAACGAACATGTCATACCCTTGGTCGAATCAATTGGAAAGAAAAGAGAAGGATTCCGCGACCACGATGCCTTGTGCGACCACTTACAGAGGCCATGGCCAATGGGCTGGAACAGGCGCACAGCCCCTGCAACAGAAACCAGTCGTGGGTGCGGCCCGCATGCTGAAGTGCCGATCCGTCTTCTACAGCTTCTTCTGATTTGTCCTCATACAATGGCGCAGCCCCCAGCGCCAACACCCTGGGAGGTCCCAAGAACTACTACTGTAGATGACGAACATCCATTCCTTGGCATCTCTCCGCCCGGTTCACAAGATGCCTTCAGCAGTGCCACAGATCCCCATGTTCCCGGGGCTGGTTATCTCGGTTAAAGGCTTCGTATCCGGGGGATCTTTCTGGGGTTACGTAGTGGGGCAGAGTCTCTTGAAACCCAGAGTTGTTCGGTATCCATGCCAAGCAGAGCGATGGGCAAGGAAAAGAACACGCAAAGTACCAGCCGCACTTGCATGCGAAGGGAAAACGGCACGCGAGTCGATTCTCTTTATTACTAGCGCCACATACTTCATTGCTCCTGCACAGAATCGAAGCATTTCCTCGGAAGTCTGTCTTGGCGATTGTCCATACGACTCCTACTACCCGTAGAGTACGTAGCAAGATCAGGAAATCCTGATGAGCATCCCTGAAGCTGAGTGTAAGATATGTGTATCTGGCGGGCTATCTGCTTGGGTTGCCCAACGTCTCCGTTCAGACAAGAGTTTGCCGAAGAGGCCGTCAAAGGAATCTGACATGTTGTACCGCAGCCCTACGCGTGTCTAGAAGGCTTGGACAAGCACGAGACTCCTCAGCAGCCCTGGACAATACTTGGACACCTCGAGGGCTGTGATCGACATTGGATCATAAGTACCTCCAGCCCGCCACCCTAGCTACACAGCCTACCAATTTTCACATTAGAGACATGCCTCATCCAGGATTTGCAAAATTCCTTCTTTTGGACATTACAACGTTTCAGTGAACGACCTGACTGCGTTGTCGTTATGACCAACCTCATCTCGAAATGGATCCACTGTCGATTGCAGCCAACGTGGTCGGGATAGCGGTTGTGTGCGGCAAGTTGTCGCAAAGTGTTGGCCAGTTCGTCATCGACACCAAGGGTGCTCCAGATATCGTATCTGAATTCTATGAGACCATTCGAAATCTTCACTCAGCGCTGTCACAAGTCGGGCAGGTCTTGCAGTCTCGGCCGCGCCAGCTGCCTTTCGAGAAGGAGCACCACCGAAAGATCGGGCAGATCGCCAAGTCCTGCAAGAAAGCTCTTGACAAGTTGGATGGGCAACTCCCTTCGCTTCGTGACAAGCCAACCTCCATCGACAAAGTCCGCATGAACCTGTCCATGTCTTTGAAGTCCAACTCAATCAAGCAGACAATTATACACATCAACTCGTACACCCAAGTACTGCAGCTCAGCTTGGTGACGTTGTCACTCGGGTCGTTATGGGGAACACAAAGCTCTCAAGACCAAATCCAAGCCGAGATCAGAAGCCTGACGGACAAAATCCGCTCTTCAAACCTTTTATTACAAAGACCAGACTTGCCACCTCCTGGCCAACTAACAGAAATGGACGATCATGTCGCCGATGCTAACATGGCCGTCACCAGGGACATACAGGCTTGGCGAGCGACTGCAGACGACGTAGCTGCAGCTGTATCTCTACATAACCCCGACCAAATGTCACTAGACGCTCGGTCGGAAATACACAACCTTGCCTCAGATAGTGGCGTTGATATCAGCCCGGAGATCGAAGAAGACGACTTCGACCCTGAACCCGGGTATGCCGACTGTCCTAGCCGCGAGATTCTGCAGTATCAGTTTGAGCATAATCAGATGATGGTCAGTCAACTGGTCAAGTGTGGCATCTTTCTCAAGGCATCATCATATCAGCGAAAGGGAATCGAATGGCGAAAGCAGCTTGCAGAGGTCCACAATGTCGCTCTCACACCTGACGAGAGCGCCGACATGAAAGAGTTCCTTGCTGAGATCCTAATGAATACCGATATACCGGATCTCATCATAGAGGGCAAAGAGATGTTGAGAATGCTCTTGAAGGAAGAGGTCACAAAACCTACCGAGCAGATCGATGAACATAGACGCTGTCGTTTATATCACAAACTTGGTAAGCTCTACATGGAGCAAGGAAGGCTTGAGCAGGCGCGCAGGGATCTCAGCCGAGCTTTCGAGGGGAGAAGGAGGATCGACCCCATGCCGAAAGACCTAGTGCGAGAATCTGCTGAACTTCTTGTGAAGGCCTTGCAGCTTGATCAAGCCTTCGACGAAGCGCGCGGATATATGGAGTATATCGGACGAGAACTGAACCCTGAGCCGGCTAGCATTGACCCCACAATCCCGCCTTCTGTAGACAACGAATTGTCCAGCGCATTTGCATGGTGTCAAGAACGAGGCTTCGATGTTGACTCTGAGGACTTCTGTTTCGAAGTCTGTGATTCAATGAGAGGGACATCACCGCTGCATCTTGTGATACAAGAGGAGAACCTCGAGATGTTCCGCCTCGTCATCGATCACGTCGTCAGCCTTGAGCACCGTGACTCTGACTTCGCTACGCCATTGCTGCTGGCATGTAGCACCCGCAACCGTGAGACAGTCGGCATGTTGCTCCAACGAAAGGCAAAGGTCGATGTGCGAGACTTAAAGGGCATGTCACCACTGCACCGATGTCAAAGTACGAAGGGAGGAGTTCAGGTTGCGAAACTTGTTGTGGAGTATGCACCATGTCCGCCGCCGGCCTCTGTCAGCGCAGTACCTGAGATCATCAACCAAACTGACAACTCGGGGAAAGCCGCACTGATCATGGCGTGTGAGAAGGAGAACGTCGAGATGGCCACGTTCCTCATGGAACAGGGAGCTAAGCCGGATCTGACTGAGAAATATGGCAAGACAGCTCTCTATATGGCCTGCCAAAGGGGAGATGAGCGAATCGTCAAGTGTTTGTTAGAGAATCGTGCTGGCCCAAACGTGCAGGGCCCAGGCCAGTGCACGCCGTTGGTCGCAGTGATTGAGGCGGCAATCAGCATCACCGCGAAGCTATCTATCATCGAAATGCTTTTAGCTCATGGAGCTGATCCACGTGTAGCAGATGCGGATGGACAGAACGCTTTCGTAGCTGCGAAGAAGGCCGGGTTTGGATCCGAGATAACACGGCGCCTCCAAAGGGTAGATCCTCGGCGGCTCAGCACGACATCGGCAGCGACCGCCAGCAGCAGGGCGCCAAGTAATGCTGAATCGTTCCGGTCTCAGGCAGAATCCGTGACATCGCAATCAAGTGGTCGGGTTTCAGACAACAATAGCGGGCGAATCCGGCTGAGATGGAAGAAGGACGAGGGCAGAGGTGGTTAGAAGCTGAGTCTTAGTCGGAATGTTTGAATTTGGAAGATCCATAGTTTTCATCAGCTTAACTTGATGATGACGGCGTCTGAGGCTCGTGTATGGTTGACTGTCGATGGTTAGTTGATGAATCGCGATGAGGCGTTCAATGGACCACAGAGCAGGCGCTTGGATGTCGGGATATTTGGGCGAAGATGTCTTCTACTGCATGATACCCACGTCTTGATTTAGAATCTCAATATACGATACCGTAAACTTGATTGGGAACCTCCGCTGTAACCCGTCTGCGAGGTGACCGCATCCGCATTCCGTTCTGGGTTCGTGTGTGAAGTGAAGATCGCAGTGGCTCCCAGTGTCCCAATTTGGTTCTACACCAAAGCGCGAGCCGAGGCTTCTTAATGGCCAACCGCATCAACCCCTACCGGCCAGGGAGGCATGCCCCTAAATCCTACAAAGACATAACGGCCAAACGTATCAGCACTAGAGTACCAAAACCATGAGTAATGGCCGTATAAATATCCCTTTGAAATGGTAGCGATGACAATGGTAAAGGATGTCAATCCTCCCGCTGTCTAAAGCCCTTCATCTTGACGTTGATTGATTGCTTTCGGCGTGGACTCGCAGGAATCCACAAACAACACCCACAGGAGCATGTGAAGGATCCCCTCACGAAGCTATAACATCGCATCAAATAAAACCCTGAATCCGTAGCAGCCTTCTCACATTCCGATCTGTGGAACTTTATCTAAAGCGCGGTGGCCCTCAATGGACAAAGAATCGTACCTCGTCACTGGCGGATGCGGCCTCCAGGGCTCGCACATCGTCGAGAAGCTGAGACAGCAATATCCCAATGCTCGAGTCGCCGTCATGTCCCGTCAACCTGAAGAGCAATTTGCCGGCGTGGAATATTTGTCGGGTGACATCACCAAGCCGGACGATATTCAGCGTGTATTGGATGTCTGCAAACCCACTGTCGTCTTCCACTGTGCCGGTGTCATGACTGTGACACGAAAGCCAGTCAAAGACGAAGTAGTGCATGCCATCAACTTTGATGGAGCCAAATACATGCTGGAAGCATCACAGAAGGCCGGGGTCAAGGCATTCGTCTTCACCAGCAGCGCCAGCGTGGTGCAGAGAGCGCGCGGTGGCATATGCGCCGTCGCGAACGCCGACGAGACATGGTCGACCGTCATCCCAGAAGACAAGGTCATCGCCTACCCGACGGCCAAAGCAGCCGCCGAACGTCTCATTCTGGCGGCTGACACCCCTGGAGGCATGCGGACCACCGCGCTGCGGCCGGCCCTCATCTATGGCGAGCGCGACAACGACATCATCCCGATGCATATCGCCAACCTGCGCGGCGGCCGCACGTGGCTGCAGATTGGCGACAACACCAATCTGTTCAGCGCGACCTACGCCGGCAACGCCGCAGATGCGCACCTGCTGGCTGCGAAGCGCCTGCTCACCGACCCGGACGGCGTGGCGGCCGAGCCGTTCTTCATCACCAACGGACAGGACCAGCCGTTCTGGACCTTCACCCGGGCCTCATGGCGGGCGGCGGGCGACACCACGCCTGCTTCTCAGGTGCGCGTAATCAGTCCCGTCTTTGCTTCAGCCATCGGCTGGGTATTAGAGTGGGTTGCCTGGGCGCGAGGCACGCGGCCGGCGATGACGAGGCAGACCATCGGGTTCGTGTCCCGCGACCGATACTTCAACATCACGAAGGCGAGGACCGTGCTGGGCTATGAGCCCAAGGTGGATTGGGAAGATGGCATCAAGAGAGGAGTGAAAGTGAGTCGTGATTATCCAAAACCAATCAAGATCTTGTGGCTGACATGAGCTTCTCTTATTAGTGGTTTCTTGAAAATGAGAGTAAGCAGAAGACATGATGACATGGGTGAGCACGCGAAGCTCCTACAACATGTCCTTCACACTGAAGCTCAAAGTGAGCACAAACATGGAAACCTAGAATGTATCACTGCATCGTATATTCTCGGACTTGTTGTTGGACTGGCGGCTCCAAGATTTAACCTCAAGTAGTACAAAGGTGAACAAGGTCACGGGGGAGGACAGGAAACAGTGTAGTGAGGCAACCGCAAGGATCGCGGATCTCTATACATGTACATAGCTTTACTCTACCTGTAAGAACACCGACCTGACACCTATTCACGACAAAACCGGCAGATAGAGGGTACATGCCTGATACAAAACCAGCATCCAAACGACACAACGACCACCGAACAAGGGCGAGAAAACACATGGCAGATAGACAGGAATGGCGCAGAAGGGGTCCAAGGCGGAATATAACTACAACGACAATAACAGAACTCAACATTGAACCTCGCTTCCATTTCCATCCGCTTTGCCCCTGGCATTCAAGAAACCCACGTGCTGTTCCCTACTCTCTGGACATGATTGTGACACCCGCATTCTGGCCAACTCAGCATGCCGTTTGGTCCAAGTAGGTCAACAGATAACGATACTGAAGGGTCAGGGCGCTCGGACTGTGGACAACCAGAAAACGGAATATATTCCTACATGTGCCTAATGCCCCTCGCCCGGACAATCGAAGAGAGAGAGGGCCAAACAGACATGGGAAGCTTAGTCTTTCGCCATATAGATTTCCGTGCCGCCGCCGGGAAGAACTTCATGACCAATCCAGAACACCGACCAACCAACAACCAACATCAACCAAACAAAGCCAAAGACTGGTGGAAACCGCCGACATGCATTAACCTCTCCGGTCATTGCTCCCCGATCCAAAATCCGGCTCAGGCAACGATTTCTTGTCCTTGCGTGCCTTGATCACGAACTCGGCCATGATCTGGATGTGATCAGCTGGGAAGTGGTAATTAGGGAAACCGGGAACCCGTTTGAGATATTCTGTGTCGGGCGGTCCCAGCAAGTCCACCACCTCCATAGTATTGGTCGAGTACCATAGATAGTCGATGACATCGGCAAAACCAGGTGTGTAGTTCGTGAACGGAAGTTCGTCCGGAGTACCGTTCAAGTGCTGGTATGCCGATCGGAGGCTGAAAGGATGTTCGACACCGTCCCTAGTGAAGCTGCCGTACTGTCTACCTCCAAAATCGTCGTGATCACCAGAGACTCGTCCCCGAGAGAGCAGTTCATACACGGAAGTATCATCAGGGGAGTTGTAATCACCACAGATAAGAAGAGGTATATCAGTGTTGTTCCGGTATTCCTGTGATGGGGCCGGTTCTGGTAGGTCTCTCCGTTCGTCCTCAGCTCCTGGAATTTGGATCATTTTCTTGTCCTTGCATGGCGGCCACCTAGCGTATCTCTCGGCAAACTTTGTAACGTTTTCCATGAGAATTGCTGTCTGAATGATCTTCACATCAGCCAGTGTAGGTTCCCACGCAAGATGTGCGTTGGCCACAATGATCCGAGCACCCGTAGCACGGCTCTCGAAGAAGCAAATCATGCCGATATTGTCTTTGGGCATGACTCGGTTGAAAATGTCGTGCTGATTCTTCATATCAGGCCTGTTGATTGCAATTGTCGCAAAGTCAACGAGTTGCTTGTCGAGCAAGATGAACTTGCTTGCTTTGTAGAATATCGCACAACCATCAACAGCATTGCCATCTTTCTCGGACATAGTCTTAGCTTTGGACCTCGGGAACTGTACGCCCTTGTAATCATGAGGTGCAAGTTCTGGGCCGAAAACCTCTCGCATAGCATCAATCGAAACCTCCTGGAGACAAAGGATATCGGCATCCCGATCGCGGATCTCCTGCAAAATTGCCTCTTTCCGGTAGTCCCAAGAGAGCGCACCTGTAGGCGTGTAGCCGTAAGTCTGAGTAGTAGCATATCTCTCGCCTAAGATGTTCCACGTCAAGACCTTGACCCTTTCTAGGTGAGGCGCAACATCTTCTTGTACAGTGATGATACGGCGCGGGTTTGGCGGCAGAGGAACTAAAGGTAATCTGTCAGTAATCACGGCTACGAGCCATAGATAGTCCAAAACGTACCAGGTGCTTGTTCACGCAGTAGTCCGACTAAGCTCTTTGTTCCTCTCTCCATAATCTCTTGCTTCATCTCAGGATTCAAAGGATTGCCCTCAATACCCAACATCTCGAGGTTGAATAGATAGCCTACCTCATATGGCAGAGTACGAATCTGATTGTCGAAGAGCAACAGGTGCCGTAAAAAGGTACACATGCCAATCTCTGGAGGGAGTTCTGTGATCTGGTTGTTGGACGCCTCCAGTATTCTGAGATATCGAAGTTGCCCAATTGCTGGTGGGAGATAAGTAAGCTTGTTGGAGGCGATATAAAGCTCATGCAGGAAGGTATAGTTGAACAGAGCAGGCGCCAAGTTTCGTAGTCCTTGGCCGCTCATGTCCAGGTTGTTCCAGTCCTGCCGTTCTTTGGTTTTTTCCACACTCCAAGGCCGCCGAGCACCCTCACCCTCGCTTTCCGAAGCCTGCGCGTTGCTCCCAGATGTAGCTGGCCCTATTCCTCGATTCTCTGAAGCTTTCAGTCTTGCATAGTAATGAGGTTGATGCTGATCAATCATGGCAGTATGCGCCCGCTCGGCTTCCTTGTGTAGCCGAAGCTGCTCGGCCCAATGCTCGTTGATTTGCTGCGCCTGACCACCGCGCGTAGTAGCCGCATGACCATTGGTAAGATTGTTGGCTGAGAAAGGACTCGCGTTCGAGAGAACTCCGCTTGAGTAGGTGGAGTGGTGACTGATCACTGCCCCAGTGCCGCTGTGCCCGGTATGATCAGGCTGCATTGACTGGTGGTGCTGAGCATGAGCTTGGTGTTGGTGGGCTCCGGGCTGCTGGTAGTTGTAGAGCATCGGCATCCGCTGGCCAGCAGGGGCGCCATTGAGGCGGGAGCTGTGCCCCTGCTGGTGGCCTTGAGAGTACATGCCTCTAGCAGTTCTGATTTGAGAGGTGAGATCGGGAGACTTTGAAGGCGACGGAGGACTCGCGACGACGTGCCCGAGGAGTGTATTTAGGAGTGTTTCGTTCGTGAAGGGATTTTTCGGTGTCGGTTGTAAGTATGAGAGATTCCCAATCGGCTGATGCAGGTATCGATAACCATCTGCCATTTAGCTGTCATGGGAAAGATGAGTGAATGGAAATGGTGACGCTTGGGGATTAGCTCGAGAGCTCATGTGAGACACGGAACTAGCAATGATTCGGAAAGTCGGTTTCGGGACATGGGAATCGGATGCTTCTTCTTGTTGCATCGATACGCGTACGCCGATACAGATAGGAGAAGTAGTCGCGATATTGCTCAGCTCCCCATCCAGGCGCGGAGTCGTGGCTTCGTCGAAGAACGGAGGGGGTCGAATGACTCGCCGATGATCTTGAGATGACAGGATAGCCCGCTGGAAACGAAGAAGCGGTGATATGGGCAGGCGCGTGAAACTGGCGAAAATTTTTTCTTGTTTACTTTCAGCTCGTCCCTGACCTGCGAGCGGCAGCAATTAGTCACAGGATGCTTGGTGTTCTTGGAGGTTGGGAGATGGGGCCACGATGGATGGAGCTCTCATGGCGGAGGGATAGCGAGGACCAGCTAGCGATTGCGGGGCATCAGCAACTTACCTTGAATAAAGAATGCGCGCAGGGACTGGCAAGGTCTATAATTTCGTCAATGAATACTGTATGCGAAAGATATGAGCTTCGATCATGCTGGTCCTGGATGCCGGAGTACGACCTTCTGTCGTGGCCGTCTCCATCCTGCAAAGCCAGAGAAGCACAGCCCGATGCAAGTGGTCCGTGCTCCCTCATCTGGTCATGTGACCCTCAGCCTCGCCATTACGTGCTAAATGTGCCAGCCTGGTATACTACCATGTAGGTTGCTTCTATCCTTCCCCACCATCGGTTTGACAATTTGAGAATGATGAGCCCATCTGCTGTTTTCATTACCTTCGGATTCTGAGATTAAGGCTGTCACTGAGGCGGAATTGATCAAGCTTGGCCACATAATCCGCGCCAAGAACCGGTTTCCTTCTCTCTAAGTTTACCTGGATCCTTCACTCTAATTCCTATCCTTTGAGGTGCTTGGAATAGCAGTCCTCGCAATCATGAACCTGCTTCTATTATGAAGGTCTATAGCGCCTGTCATAGACTCATGGCTATCCCTATCGGTGGGGCCGCAACAGAAATAACACGCAAGCGTAATTCAGGAATTCTGTATTGACAACATATTGAAAAGGCTTCAAATCAACCCTGTAGAAGCAGACTCAACGTGGGGTACCACGTTTGACTGTACTTGAAGTCTCGTGAACACAGCATCCAAGGATATAAATATATTGACTTGGTCAATTTAATGCAATCCCCTTTGAAAGAGAAATCGGCATTTGTACATGTGGTCAGGGGAAATACACCAAACGTAAATCGGTACCAAAAGTCACTCTTCTTGTCCGTTGGGAGTTCAGAATTCTACAACCTACAGGCGGGAATGGCAAACATGCCACCAGCGAAGCCTCAAGCTACCGACTACGATGCCGAGAGAGTCTCCGAGCCAAGCATTCCTTTTCTGCATCCTATCCCATGCTGGCCGCCGTTTGGTTAGGTGATGACCCTGGTCGCCTCGCCCTGCGCCGCAGCAGTCATGAGAGGGCAAGTTCCCCAGGGTTCAGCTTGCCCTCCCGGAAACCCGACACCTAGACTTCTCCAGAGTAGGCGAGCTCCTAACGAGCCGCGCTAATGAGTGGAGGGCAACCACGAGAAGGGCCAACCTCAAAACTTGGATGGGTTAAGTGAAACTTTTCTCGATGATTTGCTGCCAGGGCCGTTGGCGCATGAATTTGGAGAGTGCACCTACACCACCGTCCAGTGTTCGCCTTGGTCACTAGCAGCCCGTTTGGGGAGGCCAGTGGACACGGATAAAGGCACCCGCAGCTGGATGACCAAAACCACACAGCCGACTGGCAGATTGGTGAGAACCAGAAGCAGATAGACCTGGGAGAGGCCGATTCAGCCTCAATCGCCTTGACTCACGATGATGATCGCATACAAGGTGACATTTTGAGGGAAAGGACGGAACGCTGGGCCATGTTTAGTTGAGGACTTGAATAACTGGAAGACAGGGTTTTTGGTGGTACGTAATAACTAGGTAGCTGGTGCTGAGGGGTCATGCAACAAACCTGTCAACTCCACCAAGACTGGCAATTAATTATGCGGATGGAACATCGCTAGAATGCAAGACACCAGACAGACACCAGCCGGCCTGAGTCTGTGAAGTGTGGTCGGACCAACCAACCAACAACCGCTGGCGAGAAGATTCTCTGCGCAGTGTTCCAAGCTTGGTTCCTACTCTTGGCCATCCGCACGAACAGAAGCACCCATGGGGCAGGATAGGCGGCCAAATCGGGCAAGACGACAGCGCACAAAAGCGGCGATGTCTCGCTGGGGTTGAGCCGCCGCATCCAATCAGCGGACGACAGCAGCCAGACAGGTGTCGGGAAGAGGAGGGAGCTTCCGAAACTCCACGAAACCGGGCGGCAGCCACAACGAATCGGTCCATCCATTTCATCAGGTGTCGTTGTGCGTGCGGGGACGGGGGAAAGACAAGACGGGCAACAGGCACATGCGCACCCAGGAGAGGGCCGGATACAGTGCTGCAAAGTACTTGTTCCCCATGCCATGATCACGTTCTCCACAGGCCACACCTTTTACGGATGAAGGTGTGCTGCGGTAGGCGAGATCGAGGAAGAGCTAGATCCGCCTGGGACACACAGGCAGAGGGCGATATGGCCCGTATGGGGCTGGGTGCAGGTTTTGGTGGCATATATAGCCCGGTCTATCCATGGTGGCCCCGCGTATTGTTGAGGTTTGATGGCGTTCTGCTCTTTTTCCTTGGTGTTGTCGCTCCCTTTTATCTAAGGATACATCCATCCGTCTATTCAACTCGGTCGTCCTGTCGTGATCGCGGCCGTGTGCCGACATCACCGTGCCATCCAGCATCTTCCGTAATCTTACGGCGCCCGGACGAGCCTCCACCACCTCCACACTGCACACAGACAGACGTTCTGAGCTCGGACTCATCTTACGGCGGAACGGGGATCAGCGCAAGACCGTCCCCCGACTGTTCTCAAGATACTAGGGCCAATCACACGCCATGCGACTGCCAGTTGCGCAACCCTTCACCTGGTGGCTACGATATCCCGAAGACTCCTGGGAATGGGGTTCGAACCTCAGAGGGCTTGAGGTGAAGAACCGCCTTTTGGTGACGGCCGGATAAGGACGTAATCCTGAGATCCTGCTATCTGCAACGTCACTCCGCCCGACATTGCATTCTACTTACTTGGCCGAGCAGGGTGACCGGGCTACATCCCGACACCGGCAGCTCTGGGTTTGGGGACACCGGCTCATTACGTTTAGCACAAGTTGGCCCGCCTGCCCTACGATACGCAGTTGCAGGCTGCAGGTGGCTTCTTATCCTCATTGATTTCTCTGAGGCAGTGGCCGTTCGATACTCAGCCGCCGCCTGGCTGAGGTGCAGGACTCCTGACGGCCACCGCGTTTCATCTTTGAACCTGTCGTTCTTGGAAGACCGAAGCGGACAGAAGAGGGGCAGCATTATCCTAGAAAACCACCCAGACCGAGGCCATAGCCAGATTCACTGACTGACTGACTGACTGACTGACCGACTATCTGGTCGAAGAAGGTGGAGCAGGTCAACTAGCACGCCAACAACTTCCACAGCAGCATGCTCCGGAGAACTGTATAAGAGTGATAGCAGCCATCCGGGGGTTAACAATCTCAAAGCCCGGTGAGGAGCACATCAACCAACTCGTCCTACTTGGTACGGATTCAAGAAGTGCAGACAGCATTGATTCACTCATTCATTCACAAAGAGTGTATTATACACACCGCCGCGGCACAGTCAACTGGCCCGCCCCTCTCTCAACTTACACAACTTTATTCTTCCAGATTCCACAAGACAGCACAACAGAGCAGCGAGTCTCAGGGGGTGGATGAATAAGGAAGGTCTGTTGGGCCTGGCTGACTCCTGACTGGACTGACTAGAGAAGGCCCCCGTCAACTAACATTCACAACCGCCCCCTCTCTTCGGCGACCCCTGTGCCCTGAAGCAGAGTGCATAGTAAACAGGGACCGGAGCCCTTCCTGGGGCCAGTCGGAGCGAGCAGGCGGGATCCTGGCAGGGCCCTGTCAATTGGGACGCCGCTTGAGGCCGCGGACGCACCCGAGCGGCTGGTCAAGTGGGCGGTGGTGGGCAGCTTTAACGTTAGTGGGACACCGCTAAGAAACCAGGCCCCGAAAATTACTCAGTAGTGCCCTGTGCGCGGTGCCTGGGTCGCCTGGGACGGCCAGCTGGAGTCCACCTGCAGCCAATATGGAGTTCGCTTGGTCGATGGCGGCGGCGGCCAGCACGCCTTTCCCCAATACCTACCGACGACCCAAACCTCCCGCTCGCTCCCAATCTACTCAGGTCAAGTCGACCATCAAAAGGGGTCGCATTCCAGGCCACTCGAGAGCCTCCAGCACCAGCTCCCACGGCAAGTCGTCGCACGAGACGCCGCGGCAGCCGGATCTGCAACTGCATCACCCCGCCGTTACAGCCGCAGGCGCAGGAACTGGCACCGGCACGGGTGTTGTAGGTGGCGTTGTTGGTGGTGCTGCTGCTGCTAATACTACTACTACTAGCATTGCTAGGAGTGGAGGGACAGCGGCGGCAATTGGAACTGGAACTGGAACAAGATCCGACGGCGATCATCAGCGGGAGCGGATGAACAGCAACAGCCTCAGCAACAATAGCAACACCACCAGGAAGATCACCTCGTCCTTCTTCTTCTCCTCCTCCTCCTCCTCCCAGTCCCAGAACCAGAACAAGAACAAAGAACTGCCCGCCGTGCCCTCTGCGGCGGAAGACTCTGACGGGACCTCGCCTGGGCCCTACGCTCGCCACGACTTCGCCGCTGACGGCTACAGCGCAATTGGCGTCGCCATCTCGCCTGGCCTCCCCTCCCCCTCACCCTCACCGGCTTTCGCCCCGACGAGGTCCTACACCGCGCCTCCCACCGCCAAGCTGCCACTACCACCTCAGCCTGGCGGCGGCGGCCCCTTATTAGCCGATACCGAGCGACGACTACCACATCAACAGCAACAGCAGCAGCAGCAACACCATGCCGCCATGCCTCCAGAGACTGGCACGCTCAACAAGATCAATGTGCCCTTCGTCAGTACCGATAGCGTGTCGAGCACGTCCAATCTCACCACCTTCAGCAGCCGGACTATGATCTCCAGCGAGGCCCCCTCCAGTGCTGACGGCGCCTCAGCACTGTCCCAGCGCCAGCACAAGCCGTTCGTCGTTCGCAATGGCCGTACCTACCTTGCCGACCCCCAACTTCCGTACCCTCTACCCGTCGACCTCGCCGAAACACACCGGCAATCGCTCCGGACATTGCTGCTCTTCCAGCTGTTCAGCGGCCCAGTATGCTCTCCGACCTTCGCAAACAAGCCGCCGACGAGAGTGCTGGAGGTGGGCTGCGGCTCGGGCTTCTGGAGCATGATGTGCCACCGGTACTATGCACGCCACGGGCACTCCAACATCTCGTTCACGGGCATTGATATTGCGCCAATCGGGCTCGGTGCCAGCCAAACCAGCGCTGGCAGTCAGCCTGTCTCTCGCGCCTCTGCGGCATCGACTCCCGACGGCAAACCCGACAAGGACATGAAATGGCGATTCGTGCAACACGATTTGCGAAAGCTGCCATGGCCCTTCCCCGACGAGGAGTTCGACCTCGTCATGGCCAAGGACCTCTCGCTGGCTATCACGAGCCCAATGCAGCAGGCGGTCATCGACGAGTACCTGCGCATTCTACGACCTGGCGGTGTGCTGGAGATCTGGGAGAGCGATCACACCATAAGGATGCTGAGACCCCACGTACCGGAGCCCTCGTCTACGTCATCATCATCTACAAATCCGTCTTCCACCGGTCACAACGATGATGAGGAAGAGCATGAGGCAGCTGCCAGTATTGGCGCTTACATCATGACATCAAACACACCACTGTCGGCACCGTTGAACAACTTCATTGTCGAGTACAACAGCTGGGTCAGCAAGGCCATTGAGCAGCGTGCTCTGTGTGCCGTCCCTTGCGCAATTACTGGACCTATGTTGCTGCAGGAATCGGAGGCTCTGACGGGCATTGGATCCCGTCGCCTGGCTGTGCCTCTCAGCGAAGTCCGCTGGGAGCGTGAAGGTGTGGGCGGTGTTGTCACTAAGGATGGCAAGAGCTACATCGAGACAAAGGGCAAGGCACGCGACGCGGAGAGTAATCGAAAGGCTCTGACGGCCGGCCAGGCGGCACTGCGTAAGACGGCGCTGCTCACAGTCGTGCAGCAGATCCAGAGCTTAGAGCCTCTCCTGCGGGACGTCAGCGGCAAGAGCCAGGACGAATGGGACGGGTGGCTCGGCAAGATGATGAATGACCTGATGAAAGAGAACGGCACGTCTTGGGGCGAGTGTCTGGAGGTTGGCGCCTGGTGGGCCAGGAAGAAGAAGACGGCATGACGGTCTCCAGGTACTAGTAGTTCTACCGCGAGTTCTGCTACGGAGCTTCCGGTCGAGCCTAGTACCGTCGCCGCGAAACCCAGCCCGAAACCGCCTCCGCCGCGTCGGAGACCTACTCTTTCTACCCTGGGGGCGATGTCGTTCACCATGTGAGCTCGATTGTCCAGCTACTTCATGCCACTATCCTTCCATTCGACCTCATTACATCAAGACCTATGTTTAGGGCCTTGACACTGATGTTAACTACAACCGTACCCACGAGTCACAATTTGGATGACCAGCTTTATACCCTTCAAAACACCATTTTATCTCGGAACAAACTCCATTTCAGACTGCATTATACCTCTTCCTCAGCGTACGGTACCTCTTGAGGTAATACCTGAAAATATCATGAGAACGATTAGCCAAAACATCTTTTCCGGAGCGAAACCTTTTCTTCAAAGCACGAAAAAAACTTCAACATGAACTTCACAATCAACGCCCTTATATACATATAGACTGGAAAAAAATCTCGGGCCTGGATCAGCCGCGAGAGATCGAGGATGGGAAGAGGGGGGGAGAAGGAGGGAAATCTGAAATTTTATGTCCCCTCATGGTCGTTGTATATAGACATTTTCCTCTATCTCTCGACGCATGCACATAGCGCGGATAGATGGGGTGGATGGATGGATGGAATGCCTTGCATGAGGGCGTGTTGCGGCTGCGCTGCGTTGCGCTCCGTTGCGTTGCTTTCGTTTGATATACATATGCATCACTGGACGCATGTATGTATGTATGTATGTCTGTCTATATGAACGTGCGTCGCCGGCCCGCGCCCCACGGGTTCGCGCATGGTTGATTGAGTGTTGGTAGCATCGGCATCGCGTAACGAAATTCCCAAGAGCATATATCTTTCTTTTTATATCTCCTACGGGCCTTGTACCCCCGGGGTGTGACATTCGCGAAGCAGGCGAGGAGGCTAGAAGGAAGGACTTGACACGGCTCGACTTGACTTGACTTGACTTACAGGGCTTCGATCTCTGTCTCACGTCCAGTCTGTCAGCGACGGATGCCTACCTCCCTACTTGCTCATATGTAGAATTTTGAGGTCCATTGGAGCATTGAACGTGAAGAGCTCATCTGCGTGCGTACGTACCTTTGCGCACAAACTCCGCCCGCGCAATGCCGCGCCGGATCTGCTCCTCGTCGCGCATCCCGGCGTTCGCCATGAAGGCTTTGTGGAGGCGTGGTCGGAAGTAGGAGAAGCCGAGGGGGTAGTCCTTCCCGAGGTTGAGGAGCTCTGGTGAAAAAGTCAAGAGGAGATCGTTAGTCGATGCCGTTCTTCCTTGACGCGATGAACGCAGCAAGGCGGGGAAGAGGGTTTGGGGGACTGGATCGATCGCACCTTTGTAGATGGTTATGACCTGTCTCCTCAGCTCGGGGTTCGGAGGCGGCATCGTGGTTGGCGGTGGGCAGAGCGCTGCACCATTCTCTCCCGGTGCGTGCGTGCGTGCTGTATCCTTACCGTCTGCAGGGCGTCGAGTGTGAATGGGGATATGATGTCGTTGCACTCTGGAGAACGACCCGGGCCAGGATGGTTAGAGGCGGATGAACAGCCTCGGCTCTGACGCCATTTGTGCGCTATCTTATCGGAGCTCAGGGGATTCAATCGGATTGCTTGCTTACCCCTCCGAGAACCTGTTCGGCCAACCTCTCAACTTGCGAGACTCTTCACTTTTTGGGGTCCTGCGATAGCAATTGCGAGGTACCCGCTTGTATATAACTAGATAATCCAACCTCCTGTCGACTTCCAAGCGTTTCATTTCCACCCAATGCCTCCCCGGCCGCGAGCGAGACCATGCGTGTGCGTTAGACCGCTCTCGCCGGCGTCGCCCTTCTCTAGCCGCCGTTGCTTCTCGACTTCACAATCGAAACTCGAAACACCGCCGCCTCCTCCGCCCCAAAGATGGATATCTGACCTGCGTGCCCGAGTAGGCAAGTGCGTCATATTCGGCTGCTCGCCGGCCCAGGTGTCTCGGGCTGCGCAGGTGTGCCGGGCGCTGGCGACGGAATGGCGGGAGCTGACGGCGGGCAGCGAGGGCTTCCTGACGGGCGGGAGGCGGGGGCTAGAGGGCCAGAAGGTGGTTTGGGGCGAGATGGACAGCTTTGTACGTTGAAAACCATGGCAGGGCTCAAAGCGACGGAGATCGTACGGAAGAAGGGGGGCACGCTTGCTGACGAGGGTGATCATCACAACAGCAACATGTCAATAACGTCAACTACATCCGCTACGCCGAGTCGGCGCGCGTCAACTGGGTGACCAACTTCGCGGTCCATGTTGACCCGGCGCACCGCAGGCAGTGGAGCGAGCTGATGACGCCGCGCTCCGTCGGGCTGATCATGAAGAGCATCAAGGCGGATTACAAGTTTGTGAGTGCACCTCTTTGAGCCAGGCCAGGCCAAGCCAGACATCCTGGGTCCATGTCCCATCTGCTGAAACTCTCCTCCGTCCCAGCCCATGACCTACCCGGATAAGGTCTCGGTCTACCATAAGCTCCGCAACAGACCGTCGGGGGACCCCTCGCCGACGTCCATGTTTCTCGACTGCATGGTGCTGTCCCACCGCCACCAACGAGTGTCCGCGCGAACAGAGGAGGATATTGTCATATACGACTACAAGCTAGCGCAGAAGACCGAGATGCCGTCTTTCATGAAGGATGTACTAGAAGAGACATACAACATGCAGGAGGAAGCGACCGTCCGGGCGAGGACAAGGATATGGGAGCTCATTGGCTCGGTGGAGAAGCTGGAGAAGGAGACTTGGGATAGAGCAGATGCACAAGAAGACATGGGAAGTGCAATGAAGAGCAAATGAAAATGTGAATCGGTGGCTACTAGAGACCGATGCCGATATCTTTAGACATGTTTCTAGAAAGGGAGTTCAGGGGCTGTGATACCCCGGACTGCCCGACACTTCCAATGCGATTGGATTGACTGCGTACAAGATGGCCATGTGAAGGCATGGACATCAAACAAGTCTAGACTAAAATAAGAAGACGCGTCTTCTGGCATTGCCGGAGAAGAAGAAGAATACGCGGAATCCGGGTTCAGTGGTTTCACTGATTCCGGCCGATCCGGCGCAAGTATCTTGAAAGGGTTGGCACAGCCGTCCTCACATACGTTCGTACCTTAGCACCAGGTGCAAGCTTTCTCCGCTGTGGCTAGAGGGAGATCGTGCTTGAGCCTCACTGACACTCGCCACGTTGAGATCTCAAGGGACCTTGCTGGGCAAAACCTGTGCCAAGTGCCCTCCTCGAGACTCGACATTGGCATGCTGCTCCGCTTGGACTTGGATTTACAATATACACATCTTTGCCCTCTCAGATGTCACTAACGTTGTTCATGCGCGGCATGCGCCAGCGATCTACTCGCAGCATCATACGATAGGAATGAGCCTTGCTCCACGGCCAGTGTTTTGATCCCCGCATTATCATGCATCCGGATGTCAAAGCCTGATTGATATGCTCCAAAATGACTGGCCGGGATCGCCTTCATGCAGGGAGGCTTGATTGGCACGGCTGCACGTTCCCCATTTGATATCAACTGCGGGATGCTTATTGTGACAACTGTCACACGCATGATCCTTCCTTCTCTGGTATGGGATAGCCAAGAGTCGTGTGGGCGTTGCTCGTGGCCATTTATCACGCCTCCAATGTATACAGTCCAAAGTTATGATTATGAACTGTCATCTCGACCATCAACAGACCAACTAGGCAGTCGTAGACACGTGAACCACGGTCTTCAGAATTCCAATGTCAGATCCACTCAGGAAGAAAAAAAAAAAAGCAATAGCAAGCTAACCCAAGCAAAACCGTTTTGTGAAGTGTCTTCACCGCCAACTCGCCGGCGTGGAACCAAAGATGTCAAAGGCGAAAGAATGAAATTCCTTCAACAGATGAGCGCCCCACCGGGGTACCCTTTGAGGAAACACAAGACGCCCAATAAGAGCCGCGAGCCGGGAACAAAACGGCGGAGGCCACTCGGACGAGACACGCCTTAGCAGTGTCTTTTATGTAAGTATGGGGCACTTGAAAGTCCTCGCCAAGCATCTGGAACGCGACATCTGACTCGCTCGATGGGAGTGACTTTGCCGGATTGTACCCTAATGCTCAGTGGCTGACGCGGGCCGCTCTGAAGACAGCCATCTGCCGGGAGCTTATTAGGTAGCTGCTGTGCGCTTTCGAGGGGAGGGGTGTTTGGGGATCGTGAGCAGCGATGATGGCCTCATGGTATCTTCTCCCCTCCTCTGACGATGATAGCACTCCCGTCTTCATAGCCGGCGGGCGCTGAGCCGAGCTCGGTCGAGCTTGTGTGCCTCATGTGCCATTGCAGGTGGGGGCAGATGGAGATCGAAAGAGTTAAGCACCGGGGCCAGCAGCAGCAGCAGCAGCAGCAGCGAAGCAGCAGTGCAGCCCAGCTTGCGTGCTGGTGTGCTTCTCGCGGCTAAGCCAATCTCGCAGCGGGCTGCCGCTGTCGAAAGGACTCAAATGCCGAGGGCAAGATCACCCTGCTTTGCCGTGCTACGGCAGTGGAGGAAGAGGAGGGTATCTAGTGGTGGGTGGTGGGGGGGCGTGTGTGACTTGTGACTTTGTTATGGATGCTTGGCTCTGTTAAGTTATCTTGCAGCATCTGACTTTGCAATTCCCACATCCTCAAACCCCTTCTGGCTGTGGAGAGGCCATTATCGGAGGATAAATGGAGTCATCATTGGCTGGCCAGGCTGAGACTAAAGATGACCGTGGACGAATCCGCTGGAGGATCGACAGCGAGTCCTCGAAGGGAAAAGACCACTGCACGACCAGCCATCGACCCATCCTGACAGTCGCTCGTGGTGGTGAGGGGCATCGGAAGAGTGCCGGAGATTTACTTTAAGGTGCAAGCCGACCGCGGTGGTCTCTATATTAGGGTGAAAGCTTGAGTTGTGAAGAATCACAAAGACTCTGTGGATGAGTGAGTATCTGCATCTACTTGATGGCCAACTGTTGCGGCTGACTTTCGACCACTTCACCATAACGTATTCTCTGATAAAGGAGCATGACGGCGGACTCCGCCTCTCTGTCGTCACAACTAAGTGCTTTGATTCGATGTTTCTCTTTTGGCAGCGCCCGGGGGGTTATAAGTTCTGACTGTTTCAGCAGTAGAATGGGCGAATGGAGCACAAGTTTAATTTGCTTCCTTGATGCATACCACCCTCCATTCCGCAGTCTTAGCTCGTGTGCCCGTGCAGCAGCTCACGATAAATAGCTGAGAGGAGAGGGAAACGGTTAAGCGGTCAAGACTTGGCTCTCATTACGGCAGTGCTGCGAGCACTCAGTAATAACTGCAGGGTTAGAAACCGGTAGGTTCACACTGCAATAAGATCTGGGCTGGGGGTGGCTCACTCATGCTCTTCTCCCCCCAAATGCTCGCCGAAACCGCGGTCCACGGACCCTGCAAGAGCTCAATCATGGGGACGGTGGATTCTGGACGAGGGCAAGCAGTGATCGACAAGGGAATTTAATTCTCGGCCTCCCACTGGCTGGGGGGGTCTCACAGGCCGCTGATGCAGCTCCACCGTACCACTGACGATGGGCACAATGGCCCAAGAAAAAAAAAACCGACGGCCTGTGTCTTGTGTGAGTGTGTGTCTGACTGACTAGCGGCGAAGACCACACATGTCATGCCCGCACGAGACGAAACCTTGTTCCTATCAGATCAGCAATGATAGGGCATCCTTGGGGCCATGTTTGATGGTGTGTGCTTCGTACTGGTTAGGGAAGTGGGAGGACGAGAACGGACGAGCAAGGACAGGCTTGGATAGACTCAATTGCCCCGCGGAGTTTGTGTGCGGCTTGTCTACTGCTGTACTTAGTCACAGGTTGTCTCCTCTGATCGTCAAGTAGCCTCTCTCTTGGTAATGTAGTCCCATCGGTAGTACCTTGACTGTGCATGACAGGTCTCTGAAGTGAAGGAGGCACTGTCCTCATGGAGTCACTCACTCTGCGGCTCTTCATACATGACTTACTATGTAGATGACCTACACCATGTTGGCGTCGGAGTTCGTACAACTTAGGAAGAGGTGTGATGAGGTTACGATAGAATAAATGACACTGCATTCTAACAATACCGGCGGCTGCGCTTCTCAGGCACAGGCACAGGCACAGGCACTGCCAACTTGACCCTACTACTATAGGTTCCTGGAGAGGTTGGCATCTTTGCCCACACCTACCTGGGTAGGCTTTCAGTGGTGTCGTTCAACGGTCGTTAATACGTAATTTGGTGGGCAAAAGACCGTGACTAAAGACGAAGCTACCGTTCACGATGGCTGGGCCAAGAGCCTTTTCAGCGCCGGTCGCCGGCCGGAAGCGCCGACCGGCGCAGTCTGTCATCCATCGGCAACAGCCTAATTTTTTTAAAGGTGCGGAAGAGGTTTTCTTTTTTTCTGTTAGCCGTTCTTTGTAGAGGTGAAGAAGTAATCACGGCCTTCTGTGACGACTTGGTCGAATAAAGCCATGAAAGTAATTGAAACGTATCTGACTCGGGGAGCGGTGAATAGGTAGATAATACCTGACAGGAAAACAGGCAGCCTTTTTGCCGCTTGATAGTAGACGCAATTAAGACCTGCCCCAGGCAAGATGAGCCAAAAGGATCACAAGCGTTTGCTCTTGTTTGTGTGCTGTCAGCATGAAAAACGCGGTTCAATGCACCCGGCCGGCGGTGGTCGGTAACCGCAGTCAGGCAAAGTCAAGTCAGTGAGCTCCACCATAACTGAGAGGAGTCTTGGTTAGTAAGAGGTGAGGCGGTAAATGGCTTGATGATGCCCACATAACACCCATAATTGGAAGACCCATCTATTTCTTGTTTTGCCGGCAGAAAAGACTCCCCTCTTCTTGAGGAATGGCAGTCCATAATAAGAGAGAGTTACCTGTACCTAAGAAGTCAGCAGGTGTTGAGCAACCGCGCTCTTTTCTTCAAGTGAGTTGACTTGACGATTGGCTCTAGTACCAGTAGTCCCTGGGCTTGGCCCGTCATTTCCGTCGGTGCCGCGATATCAGGCAGTCCAAGGATGGATGTCTGAGCCAGCTGACAAGGACAAGGACAAGGAAGGAAGATGACTGACACTCGATCCAAGGTATTATGGCATCGTACAATAGAGTACCGTAGTTGCACGGAGGGGACAGTGCGGGATGCTGAAGAGCGGTACTTGAATCATGGAGATGGAGAAATAAGAGAGGGTGAGGCAAGGTACCCAGCCAGAAGGTACCTGTCTTTTGGTGCGGCACTGCACCATTTAACTTGCCTTACAGGTTGCATCTTAGTGACTGGGGCACGCTAAATCGGAAGAAAAGTGACTCGAGCCAGTGGCCGTCAGTGGCCGTGAATCCACTGAGAGTCGGCTAAGTACCGATGCATCCCACCTGGAGGGCCCCCCCTTCCCCCCCCTTCCCCCTTCTTCAGGCTCCTCTTTTTTCTCTCTTCGTCCCTGTTATTCCATTCCGTCCAAGCCCAAGCCCAAGCCTTTTTCCTCCTCCTCCCACTCACCCACCAAAAACATCCATACACCTAACTAATTACCTTACCTACAGTACCAGTCCTTACTTAGGCTCCGATTTCCCTGGCATCGCATCGACCAACTTCCTTACCTCACCACCACAACCCACAGCCCACAGCCCACCTCTCCCCAATTGCCGGCCCAACGCATCAGCATCGCCACTCCTTTCGGGCATCGGGCAGCGACATCACACAACGACGCATGCCGGCATCTACTTTTTTGGTATCGCACTGCCATCGCTAGTGTGGAGCCCGGTGGCGTGCGACTCCAAGTCTGTGACGCTCCCGGATTCGGAACTGCTCCGCCAAGGAATAGAAGAGAGGAAGGAGGGAAGGAAGGAAGGGAGACAAACGAACAGACAGAAAGAGTTGGGAAACTGAAGAGCCACCTCGTTGGACTCGACTCGACTTGCATTCGACTTGCGGCCGTGGACTGCTCAAGGGTACCTTTTGCTGGCTCAGAGACGGTTTCTCCTGGGTCAGCGGAAGCGTACGATCCAGCTAGTCTATGCCTCGCGCCCCTTCCAGCAACAAGCGACAGCAGGGAGCCGCGAGCACTCGCGATACTCGACATGAGAACGGCCTCGTAGGCCCCGGAAAGCGCATCACAAGGCAAAGGAGCCAGAACCCCATTGACGGCAGCCCGCGTCCCGCTGCCGACGACAATGCCGCCGTCGGCCTCGCAGCGCAACCAGCAACATCATCATCAGCCTCAGCTCCCCTCGCAAATGGTTTCGCAAAGCACGACGACGACATGGCCCCCGAACACAGGACCACCGAGTCGTTGCGGAGGGCATCGCTAGGCACATACTCGGAGGCATCCTCCTCCGAGTCTGTCTCCATGCCGAATGGCGTCCACCCCGTCTCGGAGGATGCTCCCATGCGGATTGACGTGAACGCAGCTAAGAACACCAACGTTCACCGTGACACCGGTCCCATCGACTACGCTCTGACTGTCCTCCGATCATGCCCTCTGCACGACACCATTGCTATACTCATCATTCTCATGCAGCTCTCCCCCGTCGCCCTCTCCAGCATATACATGCTCTTCACCCTCCTCACTTTCGTCCCGCCCGTCACCACAAGCTCTGGACTCAGCCTCACCGACATCTTCGACGGAGTCAGTACCACTAGTTTGTGGACACTGATCGTCCTTGATCTTGTCTTCTTCCTGGTCTGGATCATCGTGGGAATGCAAGAGATCGTTCTTGATTTCGCGCAGGTCGTCATTGCCTTGACCCTCGGCGGCGGGGCGAGCTCCAGGGCTGGCACAACACACAACATCTTTTTCTGTGCTGCCCTTATTCTTTTCTCTCATTTTGGTCGGATACCGGCCATAAAACGCTTCACCAAACTTGGGGCTTTATTCGAGGGAGGCCCTTTTGGGTCTCCCGACATCAGCGAGTCTCTTGAAACATCCGTCTCAGCCTATGCAAAGAAAGGTGCCTATGGCTGGGTCAGAAGCGCTTTAGCGATACATATCCTTATGCAAGGAATCGTGCGTTATATAAGGGATTGGTACCTTCGCAGAGAAAAGCGCGACCAGCTCTCACAGGGCCAGCTTGACCCGGAGGCTGGGAAGGGCGCCGCGTTCTCTGGAGATGGCTCCACAGACGGCGTACCCAACACGCCCGACCCCGATATAATCGCACAGACAACTGCAACAGCGGTGTCTAGTAAAAAAAGGCGAAAGCAGAGCGCCCAAGTGCGTATACGACAACCACTGTGGGCTGCTCTTGCAAGTACCAAAATTGTTATGGTAAAAGAGTACGAATTATCACACGCAACATCCGAGTCCGCCGGCTCAAATGCCACCGACATTCACAACCTGGGCAACGCGCCTTTCAACACACAGCCAGAGCAGATTTGGATCTGCTATGTTGGCTGTGATGAAGTCTGTTTCAATACAAGCCACTTCCCGGACATACACTCATCGGGACAGTCCCATGAGAATGGCAACGCCGCTTCGTCCGGTATTGATACAACCAAACCTTTCTATGTTAGAGTGAATAATGCCGTCTGGCAGCCGACACGTATCATCCCAGTCGAGAGTGGGGAAGAAGAAGGTTGTCAAGGTACACGATGGACAGGAGACATTTACGGACTAACACCCATGTCAAAGTATGAATGCGAGTTTGTTAGCACACGAACCGGCGAAGTCCTGTTCTCTACCAGTGTTAGGACCATTCCAGCGAAACTCAGGGATTCTGATATGGGCTCCCGGTCACATGGAACTCCTCGTCAATATCGTCACGAATCGCCGGCCACCACTTTGAAGAACTCTATTGCCGGCATGGAGGCCAAGCTTGCTGATGAGAAGGCTCGTCTCAAGGCTTTACGCAAAGAGAACAACAGGAGGACCAACGCGGCTAAGAAGGAGATCGAAAGGCTAACCACAGCCGTTCAATCGGCTGGCGGGAATGACGAGAAGCTACGCCAGAAGATCGCTCAAAACAGCACGCAGCAGAAGCAGGCAGAACAATCCCTACTTGAACTGGAAACTGAGCTAAAGGAATTGGAGACCATTCCTGAGGAAGTTTTGACCGAATACCGCCAAAAGCAGGATCTGTACAAAGCTGAGAAAGCCCAATACGAAGGAGCCCGTGCCACGTACAAGAGCGTTAAGTCCTCTTTTGATGACGAAGTCAAGGTTCTCGAAGAGGATCAGGCCAGTCTCCAGGCTAAACGCACGAAGATCGCCGCACGTCTGGCCAAAGTCGAGAGCGAGCATGGACGTATAACAGACGCCAATGCTCGCGGACTTGATGAGGTCGACCGTCGCCGACAGGAACGTGCCGCCTACGAGGCGGAACAAGCTCGAGCTGAGCAGGACTATAGTGAACGTTGGGAAGCTCTACGTGCTCGGAATGACGAGAAGACGCAGACTGCCGCCAACATGGCAGCAGCTCTCCAAAGTTACATCAACAACTTCAACCACGCTGACGGCTCCTTTGAAAACGGGCAATACTCGAACACGTATGGTCCTGCTCCGTGGACCCAATCGTCTTCGCATTACCCCAATGCCATGTGGTCACCTGGTAGCTCCGGCGCTCCCGCTCCCGCCATCATGTCCACTGCTCCTGGCGGCCCGCCTCCCCTGTTCCCGCACCAGCAAGCTCCTCACTTCCACTCTCACCCGTTGCCAAAGTCTCGTGGTCGATCTTCCTCGATGCTTAGTGACATCTCTGGATTCACACAATCCACAGATGATGGTGACAACCTCAATGGAAGCAACAACGGCTCGAGCAGCAGCGGCAACAATACGGCATCATTCGTCCCTCCCATCCTCAACCAGGGCTCTCAGCCTTCATTCCATGCTCACCCCAGCATGCGAGGCCCCACCCTGCCATTCGTTCGCACTCGAAAGACGAGCGATGGCGGGTCGGGCTCTGGGTCAGCCCTGAGTTCCGAAGGGAGCAGCGGTAGCCGGAGTGGAGGAAGTGTTCGGGATCCGACAAGTCCCATATAGAGTATCTGCTGTTTTCGTGTGTCTTCTGTAGCTGGCGGATTGGGCATGCCCTCTGTCTTCTCTCGTGGCCTTGAGATCCGGGTTGTGCCTCTGGGCGGACAGACAACTGTGTTGTTCCTGGCTGCTTTCGGGTCGGACTGGTGGTTCATCGGCTAGGTAGATTGGATCAGCGTGTGATCAATACAAAAGTACTTTTGCCTTAATAATTTGTGTCTCTGTGACTTGTGTGTTTTCCAATGTGACTTGACATTAGCCTTCCTCTTGTACCTGTGTTATCGAAGCATTATAAGCAATGACAGTAAAAGCGTGTTCATGAAAGTATAGTTCTGTCTGTATTGGTTGACTACATTCAAACTCCCCTTTGTTATACGAATGCTCCCAGCCGTACAAGACAAGCCAATATTCAAGAGAAGTAAAGAGAAACGCCCCATGCCATCCCAAATGGTATCATCTTGTCATAACATCGTTGCAATATGTCGTTTCATCCTTCCATCTCAACTAGATCATACTAACTACTAATTCCCCTTGCCGGTCACCGCCCCTATCGCCAGGATGTCCAGCCGGCCCGCGTACAGCTTCATGACATGGCACACCGGGTCCCCCCAGATCACGGCGCGCAGCTGCTCGTCCGTCGCGATCTGCGCAACAACGCCCTCGTTCAGCCGCTCCTCCACCGTCTTGCGGCCCTTGAGCCGCGCGCTGCCCCGGGCGTCCCCCGATCGCAGCACGACAATCCGCCCGGCGCTGCTCAGCGTGCAGGGCGGGACTCGCCACGTCGGCATGTCGGCGCGGGAGGAGGATGTCTTGCTGCTGGTGGCGGACTTGCTGGACTTGGCTGACTTGGAGGTCTTGGTGGATGCCAGGGAGCTCTTGGATTTCTTCTCCTTGGGCCCCTTGATGGTGCAGTCGGGTGAGAGCATCGATGTGGGAGGCGACTTGGCCCCCTTTCCGCCCGTTGGCGTCGGCGTCGGCGCGGGCGCGGGCGTGGCGAACAGCTCGAGCAGGCTGCGCACGTACGCCTTGTCAGCGCGCGCAACGGGGTCGCCCTCGTTGACGAAGCTCAGGAACAAGCTCTTTCTGAGCTCGGGGCGGTCGGGCTTGGCGAGCGGGAGCAGCGAGACGGGCGGCGCGCCGAAGGTGACGCAGTGGATGCGGCGGAAGCAGCCCGCCAGGCCGTTGAGCTCGGACTCGGCGGCGCGGCTCGTCGCCAGCATGTGGCTGTACAGCAGGGCCGCGACGGCGCCGCCGGCCGAGTGGCCCGTGATGAGCAGCGAGTACGACGACCGCCCGGGGTCCTCCTCGAGGAGCTGGCGCAGGCGCGCGGCGACGGGCTTGATCATCTTGCGCGCGACGGAGAGGAAGCCTGCGTGGCAGAAGTTGCCTGGGTCGTCCTGTTGCATGTTAGTTGGCTGGATGTTCTCGAGCCGCTTGTCTTAGCTGGAGTGTGTGCTCACCAGGAAGCCCAAGGGCGATGTCGGGGCCATGTTCAGGTTCACGGCCCAGTCCATGAAAGTGGCTGTCCCGCGGATTGCAAACACAATCGTGTTCATGTGGTCCATGGGCACGCTCTTGATGACCATGGCTTTGGTGCCCGTCCTAAAGTCTGAGTCGACATGAGCATCGCGCTCGGCACCACGTGGCTTCTCGTACACTCGTTCAGAGTACTGGGCCGCTAGGCAAAGCAGCGGGTATGTCGGGATATACAGTTTGAGGGGAGGTAGATTCATAGGGAGCTTCGAGTTGGCGTATAAGTCTACCTTTGCAAAGTAGCCACCTGAGATAACGGATGCCGCTACGGCTGTGGTCTGGCCCTTTGGATGATCCTTCGTGGTAGTCTTCTTGCTCTTCTTCGGCAGAGATCGGTCTGTAGTCACAATGGACGGTGGACCCTGTGCAGGCATCACGGCGGGTTGGTATGTGAAGAGATCTTTCTCGTTCCCAACGTATCGATCTCCATCTATCCGGGTCATGACATCGTTGAAGCGTTCTGATATCTGGTCGACCAACGCAGCACTTTGATTCAACAGCTGTGAGCCGTAGCCGTGCCACCTTGGAAGACCATCATCGAAGAACTGCGGGAGGTTACCTGGAATGACTTCATTCGCCAGGTTGACCATTGACATGTTGAGTTTGCCGAGACCTCCGCTACTAGTCTGAGGCCTTTGGGGCACAGGACCTTGAGGCGGCGGTAGAATATAGTAGTGCTGGTTCACGACAACTGGGGGACGTTGATACTGATATGGAGGAGGCGGTTGGCCATTGTTCCATCCCGGAGGCGGTGGGAGATACCCAGCTGGCTGGAATTGCGGTTGAGGCGGACATGCTGGCTCGCCGGTCCAAGGTATAGAGGCCTGGGACGGAGGTGACTGTGGATATGGAGGCACGGGTGGAGATGCCGGTTGCAGGTGATTCACCGGCGGAGATCCAGGAGGAGATTTTCGAACTTTCTTGGAGAAGAAGCCCATCCTCGCGGGTTCGACGGGCTATGTTCTGGTGCCGTGCATGCAGCTGCGAGTGATTACGGCTGATTATTCCACTGAGATGATTTCATTACATGTGTGAAGGAAAGCATTAGCCACAGCGACCAGATTGCCTTCAACGAGAGTAACAAGATGACGATGACACGCGCGGCAAAGCTGCTAGAGAAGAGCCGGAGCGAGGCAATGAAGCACCAGAAGGGTCGTCATGGCCCTTTTCTAAGAATATTGCCCATGTGGAAAGCCGCCGCTCTCGCAGCACAGCGTCGGCTCAAGTGAACAATGTCTAAAGCTTTAGCTGGTGTGCCTTGCCGCATTCGTCCCCGGATCCCTGGAGCATCCCCTTGCAACACCCCAGCTCAGGGCGTTGATTCGCTATCGAGTTCCCTGCTCAGCCCCAATCGGTCGAGTCAATGGCGTCGGGCGAGACGGGCTCTGTGGAACCGTTGGCGAACCGTAGGCCTGAGAAAGCGGCCTGCAAACTTATGCAGGTGACTCTGTAGGTGGAAGCGACGGCTCTCCACAATCATGTGTCTTGACTGGCTTGTAGGTGCTGTTTCACCTCGGCCCTCTGTCTCTTTGGTGGGGTTTCTGGCCTCTCTCAAGCGACTCTGACTCTTGCGGTTGGGGCAGACTGCAGGATGCAGCTGCCAGTAGCCGCCGAGCGTTTAAGAGGAGTGCGGGGTTTGGTTGAATCAGTCGATGCTGCAGCAGCTGTGTCTAGACTAGAAGACGCCATTTCTGGCTGCTCTGGACTTCCAGAGAACAAGCCTTCTGTCAAGGGCGGCCCTGTGTAAGACGGTTGTCTGGATGATTGGGGAAGACACCCCCGAAACGCATGCCGTGATACCCTCGACCTGCCAGTTTAGAGAGAAAGGCACCTCGCCCCAGAAACAATTGACAAACCGCCGTGGTTGAGATCGGCAAGCGAATAAGGGCAAGGTTGCCTTGCACCCACGAGAGTTTCAAGTACAGGCACTTTTGAGCGTTGATTTTCAAAAGCCTGACCCAGCGTAACCTCATCGTCGGTCGGTTAGGATAGAAAGCCTCAAGAAAGCACAAAGGACCCGTATGAGTACCACCAAAGGGATATTCAATGTAATTGTCGAAAGCCCCTGGTCCCCGACAATGACTCAAAAGAGCGGTCATTCGTTGGTAGCTGCAGCTTCACGAGACGAGGCTGGCAAACCTTGCAACCCACATCACGCTAGATCAGGGCTAAGGGACTACCTGCAGCCTCAACACCAAATTGAAAAGACAAAACATCAAGAAACCAGTCATACTTACATCTTCCCCTGCAGATGGCGAGTGGAAGAATTAATTCGTGGACTCTGGCAATTGGCTCCCGCGTTGTATAGTAGAGATATGTCCTGATAGCCTAGTCGAGAGAAGCAAGCAGCCAACCGCGGACACCTCTCCGGTGCCGGAGTGTGCAGATTGGGAGGGCAATGACTATGTCCTCATTTTGAAGACCCTCTTGCCAGGCAGAGTTGATGTGAGTTGTTCCGGAAGGCGGCCTGTGATGATATTGACTGTAGCTGTCACATCACATATTTAGTAGGCTCTCTCCGAGACGAGTTCTAACCTGGTGAGCAACCCTTCAATGAAGAGAGACGATGCGTAGTCAATCGTTAATACGCAAAAGTGCTGTCGCCGCTTTTGTTTCCCACAGATACGATGTATTCGTGGGGGAAAGTGTAATGATCCCGTGGATGCTCAAGATCAGAGGAACAGATCTATCGATAAGGTGTTTTGAGGCCAGCTCTGTTGAGCTGCATCTTGACTTTCGCGCGTCAAGATGGCGGTGTTAGATCCGACACCGTCATATCCAAAACAACAAGACGCTGAGGGCCTGTGCACAAACTTTGCCTGTCGTAGAGAAGGAGCATGTAGAACACGTGGACGGATGCATCTCTTGCAGGAGCGTGGGGTCTTTCAAGAGTTGATTGCTCATGTTTTCCTTGGAGAAGGATCCCACAACTTCGGGTATGGCGTTCTTAGGCGGGCCACCGCTACCGGGGCCCCTGCTAATCCGATGAAACTCGGAGAATTCTTGAACGGTACGTAGTACCCACACCGGGTCGCGGCCGGCTGAATGATATTGCGCCTAAGGAGCATCTCAAACATGGCAATTAATGCATCGCCATAGCTTCTTGTGCACGGAATGCAAAGCAGGCTCTCCCTCACACTCTCCCAGCATCTCGAGATGCCTCCAAACCAGCCATGGACTTCGTAAGTCGCCTCTCTCTTGCGCGCCCCAGAGCCTCAGCTGCTAATCAAGGGTCGCAATAAATATAGTGGTCGCGTCTGCTAGCTCACACACCGTTAAACTCGGAAGCCAACCGTAAGGACGCCGCAAAGGATCCCGTCCGCCGGTTACGCCGCTTCGAAAAGGAATATAGTCAGCTTCTTGTAAGTTCTACTGCTTCATAGCTCTCCACCGCAGCCCTGAAAGTTTCAAACAGCAGGAACAATCCTAACCCAGCTGGTAGCAAACATGGCGAAACGCGTCGAGCCTTGCCCCGGACAGCGAGGACGCCGAGATCATCGAGGTCCGGCTGCAAGAACTGACCAACATCCTCAGCGATGAGTCCCGCCGACCACTGCCCCATCCTTGCATCGCCTTCTCCGCCACGAAGCAGCTCTACATCCCCGTTGCCAAGATCGCGACCAGCTCCTACAATGAGTGGATCATCAGGGAAGGCGTGCTTTTCTTCGCTACGTTGATCGAGAGCGAGGAAGAGGCATTTGTCGAGAGCGATGCCTTCGCCTCCAGCCTGACCAACCTCCTCGTCCGAATCACCGGCGCCAACAGCATCCGCCTGGGCGCAGACACAGAAGCTAGGGTGGTAGAGCTGGCTTTCAATATCACTACCAAGATTAGGCTCGAGCCGGAGATCCTGCCAGCCTGGTTCAAGTCACAGCGCAACCAGCCACAAGAAGAAAGGAACTTAGACAAGCATGGCCAGTTTGAGGGTAGGACCCAAAAGCAGGACTTTCCGCTTTTCTATCTCTTGATGGACTACATCCACCACGAGGGCAAGGTGGGCGACTTCGCACGGACGGGGCTGCTCTACATCATCGAAGCTGCCTCGAACTCTGTGAATCTGGAACAATGGATCGTTGAAAGCGATCTGTCGACTCTCATGGCTACCGGTTTGGGTGCGCTATACAGCCAGCTCAGCAGGAAGCTTGTTATCGACCATCCACCGCAGGATCTACCCCCTATTCTAGCCTTTTCGGACTATCAGCATCCAGTCTCCACATATGAGATTGTATCTTCATGCTCACCCGACTTCCAGGCACACCTCGAAACATTCCTTTCTCATCTGCTCTTCTGGCAGGATGTGTTGAATCATTGCAGGTCCGTGGACGTAAAGTCAACGCTCCTGGAACACTTCCAGGTCATCTTCCTGCAACAATTACTGTATGCCACCCAACCTGCTGAGGTTTCAATGCGTATCTAACTGTGTTCACTAGATATCCTTCATTGCTTGAGTCATCTGATATCGACGGAGGCTCTTCAGTGGCCGTCCTGACATATTTGAGACGTATATTAGAAACTCTAGATCATCCCGACATGATCAACCTAATCTTGCATTATCTACTTGCTCTACCTGACATTATGGCTTCGGCACCGGCAACAAGCCGGAGCTCAGTAAGCTTGGCAAGGAAGCGAAAGTCTATGGATCTAGCTTCAATGATGGCATCCAAGGTGGACACTGTCGGTGATCCTTTGCTTTTCAATCTTGTTGATCTGATCCTGGCATGCCTACGCTCGCAGAGCCAACAGACGATTCATGTGACCCTTCAACTGGTATCTGCCATATTGAGGAGACATCACCGATATGCTGTGATTACGCTCCTCCAAACAGAAGGCCTGCATGGAGATGCTACGCACAGAACGATTGGTGCGCATCAACAAGAGGTCGAATTCCTCATGGCTCTCGCAGGGGTCATCGGCGGCCAGGACAATTTTGACGAGATTTATGACAGCATCCTCAAGGATACAACGATTCGATTAGAAAGCCATCCTTGCTCGCTCAAATTGGTTGCGCCAAAGGTGTCAACCAACAACCACAAACTTCCCGCGATTCCTGATAGCTTGCCGGGCGCACCCCGAGATGTGCGATCTCACACCCTTCGGCCGGACGATCCTCTCCTCAACGTCATTCTTGATCGTCTAGAGACATTCTTCATCAACCCCGTTGATACAAATCTTTCAGTTACCGAGACCATTTTTGACCTTGCGGTCTGTGGATTTGTCAACATTGAGGGATGGATGTTACGCCATCCAGAAAAATATGTGTATGAAGAGGATGATAGCAGTGCAGCGCCTCTGGATGCTCCGGCTCATGACCCAGACTCTCCATCGTATGCCGACTTTGAGAAGCTTGAGGCCATGAAGAAGTGTCGTCGCCGGCCGCAGTGGACTGCAGCCAGCCTTCCCCGACTGCTGAAGATCTTGCAGTTGCTCTCGGACGAGGTGTCTTCCTATAGAGAGACAATCCCACGCTTCGACGATCTCCTGCAACAACGTCGTGAGGCCTTTCAAACAGCCGATACTGCTGGTGCCAATCCAATCCCTGTTCGGAGCAAAAACACGCTCCCAAGCACTCCCAGTCTTGAGCGTACGAGTATGGATGATCCACGAAGTGGCTCGCCCGCCCGACCATCTGCTTTCGGTGGTTTCGCACAACGCATCCTCTCTGAACTTGGCACTCCTAGTCGGTCGAGCAGTCCAAGAGGAAGGAAAGAGGTTGTTCGTGGATCAACGAGTGGGCCGACTCTATCAGGGGGCTATGGTTTCGCGACGCCGACGTCCTCGAAGCCCATACCAGTGCCACCAAAAGAGTTCCCGATGGCTCACGACACGCCTTCGAGAAGCGGCCTTGCGCGGTCATACTCCCCCAACAGCCAGCCCGGCCGCTCCGACTCACTCGACGGTCGGGATCCGGCAGTCGCGAGCCAGTACGCCGCCTTCCAGGCGGTCGACCAGCAGATCCTCGCTCGTCGTGTGGGATTGCCTGCGAAAGTGGAGCCGATCCCTTTGAAGTTCGAGAAAAAGGCCGTTGTTGAGAACGGAGAGGACGGCGAGTCTGCCGAGCGGCCCGAGGCGGTCGTTGATGCTGCGCTGGCATCTGAGGACGGAGAGACGGATGTGTCCTCACCCGTCGAGGACAAGACGGTGTCTGTGTCCCATGTCATTACTAATGTCATCATCCTACAATCCTTCTTGTTCGAGCTGGCAAGCCTGGTGCAGGTCAGGGCGGGCCTATTTGATGAAGTGCGCTTTGCATAGATGGTGCGGGGTGCATGGTGGATGGATAGACCGAGAGATGGTGAGGAGAAGGGGCGAGGGGAGAGAGAGGGGGGATGGAGGGTGTCCTGTCTTGCAACGAATTTTCTTGCCAATACCCCGTTAAACCTACCTTTGTTTGGTTTCTCTTTTGCAATTAGAAGGGTCTTGGCTTTTCATCTTTGGTGGAATTCGCATTGTTTGGCGTCGGCGGCGGCGACGGACATTTGATGAGGCGATGACTGACTGGCTCTCGAGTGTTCTTTCTTTTGGCCCGCGGACCTGGGAATGCGGTCTCGAGGGTCTTTTTGGGCTTGCATGCATGCATATGTGCATCGTGCACGAATACATGACAACAATAGACTTGTTTGCTTCTTATCTTCCAATGAAGCGAGTGTCACGTCGGGCGACTGTCCATATGGTTTCTGTACAACGGTGGAGGCGCCACACCCAACCCATGGGCTCGCCCAGTCACTAAGAGACTCACAAATACAGTATAGCACAGGCGAGCGCCGCAGCGCGTACCTATCTGCAGAGTCCGGCCGTGATGCCGATTCGACGAGGGCCTAGAGAAAGGATGTGGCGCCGTTCTGCGTTCTCCATCTGCATGAAAATGTGGTCATTCCGGTCACGATCATGTGGCAAGCTTGCATGGCGGCGCTTTGCTTCTGCCACAGGCTCCTCTGGCACACTGGTTCATATGCCGTAATCCGGAGTCGTGGGTCACGGCATGCGGGAGCATCTCCCCGGCAATGATTTGACAGGGGGTCACTCGCGTGCACGGCCGATCACGTATCAATTAGGACCTGTCTGGGTTGCTACAGGATCGACCCAAGCCCTACTGGAACCGACAGAATCGCTGAGCACATGTGTGCTTTTAGCATTGCTTTTTCTCGCTCTCTTGGGATTGCTCCCCGGATAACGGATCTAACTGTTTGCAGTAACGCCAGGGTGTTACACGTCTCAACAGGGGTCTCTTGGACGCCATAGAGGTCGAGCTGGAAGCCGCGGCATCGTGCAAGCCACACACCCGATTGTGTGGTGGCGTTTTCGTTGGACAGCATCGGGATGTTCCCTGACTTCCAGTACTGCACTTTGGATTTAATTCAAGATGAATACGGTGAACTACCCCCTGCTCCCTCTAGTATCTGTCTGGACTAGACTGCCGCTTTCGATGTCTTTCCTTTCCTCATCTGGTGACGATGACTAGGTTCTTGCTTGTCCCCATCATACAACATGTATTAATCACCTTTCGAGGCTTTCTAGGAGCAAGAGTGAAGGTGTATCGTCAACCATCTCTTCAGAGATAAAAGGGACGACGGCCCCGTCATGTCTTGATTCTCTATTCCTAGCCTCCTAAGAATTGTCAATGCCTGTTTTCTGTCTTCTCTTGTTGTGTATTGCAAGTCTTTTTGGGACAAGCCTCAAGGAGTTAGACTTTTGTTCTTCCTGTCCCAAGTTGCTGAATACCAGATTCCAATTATGGACCCCCACCCCCAGCCACCGCATCCCCAAACACTTACCATCGAGGGTGACGATGGCAGCTCTGGACAGCGTCAGGAGGAGTTATTCGATCATGGTTGGGGTGAAGCGCAGCTAAACGAGGATGAGATCCAAGATATTAGGGCCCAGAACAACAATGGAAACCCAAGCAGCAGCACAGGGGCCACAAGTGGGAGTTCCGGACAGGAGAGCCAGGCGTCGCCCTAACGAGTTTCGTTCAGGAACTGCCCGTAAGGTTCACCCAAGGCACGCCACCCATTATGATGTCGAAGCTGACCTCGCGCTTGTCAGGATGAGGGCGGCGAATTCTGTGGGGTTGAAGAGGTTGGATTGTCTTCGAGGATTTCGTTTCGAAAAGGGGTGACTGTCGAGATTAACATTTGCATGAGGGCGGCGAGCCTGTTGCTCTTTAGAATTTTAATAAGGAGGAGGTTTTTGCAATATTAGAAGATGTCCCTGTGCCCAAGTCCCTTCGCTCATCAAGTCCGAGCTACTCGTAGTGTCTCGTAACTGCTTTTACCTTATTCCGCGCTCGAACGCAAATCTTAAACATGTCAACAGTCAACTGTATAGCAGCCATCAGGCCCCTCCCTTTCTTCAACGCTTGCTTCAGTCTAGCAGGCCACAACTTGTACAAGATACCGGTACTGTATAGGAGGCAACTTTCGAAAGCGGTTTGGGTTCATTATGCTTATGAGCCAATTTCTCTGGAAGGAGCTTTGTCGGTGGGGGATGGCTCGAGGAGAAGATCGGATCTGCAACTCTGGACTGATATTCTGATACCTGCAAGGTGGGACTCGGGTCGACTTGATAAAAGGGGCGAAGTCGTAGGTGATATGAAGGAGTAAGGAAGGACATTCCGTTCTAGAGAGTCCGTAGCATCGTCCCGTAGAAGGTTTTTCTGACGCTTTGGGCGGTGGCTGCCTCGTAGCGAAGCCGACATCCGCAACCGGAAGACTTTGAGGAGAATGGAAACGGTGCAGAGCGTCTAGAGGAAGGTAAAGACATATTGCCATAGACACAATCAACACAGAATGGCATTGTTGACACAACTTGGCGATAAATCTGACCAGCTCTGAAATGGTGATGTCTTGTTACTGGAGACGGGCAATCATCTCAGGGGCATCGAAGAATCTTGGAAAAGTAGTCTGTTCAAATGTTGTAGAATATTTGAGAGGCTTAAGTCTCCAGGTAAAGGAGAAGAGAGAAGCAAGACCTTCTGCCTTTCCTTTGAGACGTAGTTCTCTTAGGAGACACCCGTTAGGCGATGGTTGCCTCCAGGCGGCGATGCGGCCAACTTTCAGAAGCCGAAATCTGCCTCGCGACCCGTTCAGGGGCTCTACTCTTCTACAGTGCCCCCCTGAGCCCCCCTAAGTCCTCCTCACGGCGGCCCGGTCCGCAAGCACTAATCACAATTGGAACTGTTTCTAGGGCAGACACAACACCTGGGGACTCGGGAATCCCGCCTGTAGCTCACTGTCTGTCATTCCATTCCACCTGCACGTCGGCACGGCAAGAGTTCTAGCTATGCTCGCCATGCCAGCTGATGCCGTCGATCAGAATATTCTCGTCCGTCTCTCAAAAAGGAGGCGAGCGAGGCTTCTCTGTCACGGCCAATGTGCTGCGTAGAAATAAGATTAACGAGCTTGCCGTGCATTCCTGGACCTGTCTCACCGAGCAAGTCTCGCGCCCTTCTTTCCGAACCGCCAGCGCCGCATTGTTTAAATTATCCCACATACCAGCAAAAACTCAGGGATTTTGCATTTGATTTAGGCAGGTGTAAATTATCCGATGCGCCTTTTTTGGCCGTTCACTCCTTGGCAGAAGAAAGCATTGCAACGCACACGCCAGGCCCAGCTCTCTTCAGAGTGAATCCGTCTTGGACCCCCTCGAAGCCCGAGTGAAAATTCTGATGGTGTGTTTGCTGCCTATTATCTTACCCAGCCTCAGTCAGATAGTACACCATTATCTTTTGATCTGCTAAACTCGAGGCCCATTATCAGACCCTAGCGTCATGACCCGCATGGCTCCATGTCTGATTCGGATAGAAACCAGATCTAATGATTAGCCAGCGAGGTTTGACAATGGAACCCCTTGCAGTCGCGTCTGGAGGTCGGCCTTGGGAACCAATCCGTGGATGCTGCGTGTGACACAGGCTCATTGAAGCGCGCTCTGTGGTGGTGCACAACGGGGTTACATCGTATGCAGCCTGCAGATTGTGTAAAGTACTCCGCTACTCCTTTTTACATTTCTTTTTCCGTCATCGGTTATCAATACCTTTGTCTCGATGGACTCCTCATTTCGCATCAAAAGTCGTGGAGTGTGCGTCAAGGGGTGCGTTTGACTAGAATGCTCAGCTCAAGCGTACAGTACATGGAATGAATTAGTATTGCGGCCAGTCTGCGATGTACAGGAGTATCGCGCTAATTTGATAGATCTATTATTGGATGCAGCGAACTGCCAGAGCCTTCTTCACTTGCCTCGGACCTCACCACAGGCCTCAACAAGGGTTACTACGCCTTGGTGTCCTTGGTGGTCCACTGCATTCGTGATCCTCAGCTCTCGGCTCCCTCTGAGAGTGCAACGCGTGAACTGAAAATAATATCTTGGCTTCTAGATCACAAAATTCACGAAAAGAAGATTGTCGTTCAAGTACATGTTTTGCTTGGAGGATGTTGAGAATCCCGCGTGATAAACGCATGCTTGGGGGTCACACACGGAAGCCAAGGAGAAGACTGCCGGACTTCTTTCCAACTGTCAAAGGATCAAGCTTCCCTGACGTTCCGGGGAGGGCACATTTGCGCCAAACCCGGGCTAACTCCTGGAGTAAGGACATGTCAACGACTCTTGGGGACTTCAGCTTGATGAATCCACCTCCCTGTTCTAGAAACAGCGGATCTACCGAGTGAGTTCGCCTTAGAAGCCCTAGTAATCCGGCTCCATAGTGAACTACAGCAGGCTGGTGGATGCTAGCGTGGTGTAGGCGTCCGCGGATGATCATCCGGCGTTCTGGTGGTAGTAACCATACCTGTTACGAAATCGGGCATCGACAGCCTCAATATTTCATGCCGGCAGCTACCCCTGACCATGTTCATTTGATAAACATCGGTGAGAGTAGCATGCTCAGACCATCCCAAAGCAGCAAATGTGAGGTATCATACTCACGATGTGATGCGGTGTGACGAGAACGGGCGATGACTTCCCATGGCCCATGTCAGATCTCCGCTATTCATGCTTGTACCTGATGCACACAGTCTAGAGATGTACACACGATGCTAGGTGAAGCGCTGGAGATGGATGTGCACAGCATCACCGCCACTTCATCTTCGACCGATGACTCTTGGTCGCTTTGACCAGCGAATACTCAATGCTCGGTCATGAATTACAGCGCAGTATGTGTCAATGGGTATGCTCGCTTCGAAAGATTGTTCCATTCTCCAATCTTGTCATGTTTTGGGGCTCGCTTCCCCAGCCAAATGGCCGCTTGGACAGTCGACACCATTAGTGTCAGTCCGATTGCTTACAGTTCAACGTTAAAAAGGGGGGATACTGCGACGGCCGCGACCCCAGGCAACCACACAGCGCTAAACTCTTCCTCGCTGGGAAGCCTCGGGTAGGGTCCTGCCCACGAAAACCGCTACCCAGCAGGCGGGAGGATGCTAAAACTTCTCCACCGATGTCTATTCTGGGCAGTCTCATCTCCACCTTGCTTCGCTGAGGATGTGACGCCCGATCTGAGTGACTAGGGTCACCAGGCCTTGTACGATATCATCACAGGGCATACCTTATAATGCCCAGCCAGAGGTCACTTCCCAGCTGAATCCGCAGGGATCATGAAAGTCTCTCCCCCATTCGAAGCTATTGGCACGTCATCATGGTGGAGCATCGTCAGAGCGTATCGTGGCGGTATTGACAACCATAGACTTAGAAAAAAGAACAGACAAGCGTGTATTGTCTAGTAGCCGGCGTGTACCAATGCACCAGAATGAGCCGGGACTGTATATCATAAGTGAGGACTTCAGAGCCTTGGTCACGTTTACTCGAGGTTAACACGTCTGTACGCTGGTAACTCATTACTCAACATCGGATAGGGATCATTACTTACGTTATAGCTGGCTTCATTACCAAATATACAACTAAGGCTGGCCGCAAAGCTCATTACTTTGACGGCCAATATTAAGCAAATCACAAGTGGTTTTCGCGATTTGGGGTGTGATTGTTTTCGGGGAGATTTCAATTCTCTCAAGGTAGAGTGCAGTACACTTCGCAGTACATTGCATGTGTTAAGACTACCTAAGCGGGTGACATTGGTGCCGACCTGTGGCTGAAATTTCCTTGCGCTATCCAGCATTGTAATGGCTACCCGTGCGATTCAAGGGAGGTATGTGATCGTTTCAAAAAGGGTAAGGAAACGAGATTGCATCCCAAGACACGGGAATAGCAATGATTTTCGAATAACGCCGGCCTCGAGTCGAGTCGAGCATCTGCATGTTACACAGCATAAGCGAATCACATAGTGCACATCCGCCTACCGTTCTTTTGTTTCAAACACGCTCAGAAGGAGGTTGTTATCTAGTACTGGAAGGTATATCTTGCCGTTCGTACCTGACAGCGTGCATGCAGCTGCAACCCACGAAATCAGCCCTGCAAGGACACCCACAGCTTACGAAATTAAAACCAAACTGGGTTCCAAGAAAATAAATAACGCGTGGAAATTTCCATTTTGTCGAGGCCTCCGTGCTTAGGGTGGTTGCCTTACGATTGCCTCGTCCAGTTGGCTGATCAACTGGGCTAACCACTTGGTTTTCATGGCGTAGACGAGATCAGTGCGAGAGATGATTTTAAGCTGCTAGAACAGCAGCGGTGTCTAAATAAGCGTGGTAAGAACATAAGTCAGATAAGTGATGGTCCATATACAAGTTCATCAAGACAAGGATGTCTTCCCCTCATGTACGGCATGCTGTATCTTGACTTGTGTCCATATCCTTGCAGTGGCTATGAAAGAAACACTTGCAACTGGGGAACTCTTGGTGGCAGCTATTGGTGTAGTACTAAGCCTGTCTTCCCGAGCTGTCGTGGCCTCTAAGCTCTGCGTGGAATGAGGGCTTGATGAGCCGTGTCTCGTCCTTGATCTCCTTCCCGACTAATAATACGAGACCTTTGACTCCTCTTTCAGATTGTTCTTCGACGTTCTCTCGATATCCCCTTGTATCACGAAACAATGGGTGGGAGCCGCTGCCGTCCATGGTGTTGACTGGTTTGCTCATCCGGAACTGTGATCGCTACAGGCTTGCCCCCCATCACCGGAGGTTAGTACTTCTAGCCTGCTGTCAATGCATTACCCTCCTTTCCTTCCTATCTTAATGCAGACTGTGTTCAAGCAGTCACACAATTTGACTTCTGCGCTCTTGTACCTAGAGAGGTCCTCATAATAGCATGTATCATTACTGAAGCCTTTTGCAAGCCTACAATGTGTTTTGCTCGTCATCAGGCAAGGCCCACGAGACTTGTTCGCTCTCGCACATCCCTTAACAGGAGTGTGCAGCGGAGAGGGGTTCCTTCACGGAAAAGAGCGTGAAAGATTTACCGGAAGAGAGTTGTCGGCCGACACAGTTTACCACTTTGTTGAATTCTCTACGAACTAACCTTTGATAGAAGCACAGAAACCCACGAAGTTCTCTGTTGTCCGCTTTATTCTAGTTCCTCGGCAATGCGCTTCCCTCTTCCTCCTCCTGTATCCGAACCCCTTGTGAAGAAGAGACTTGGCGACAGCTTCTAGAGGCACCTGACGGCAGACGAGTCGATCAAATCCTTCCCAAGAGCGGATCAGATCCATTGTCACGCTCTTCTCGATGGCGCGTCGATGGTTAATTGCGTAACACGACAAGCAATACCGTCATCGATAACTTCCTGACTGGCTCCTTACCTAAGGCTTTCGTTGGCTAAAGCCGTAGGTCATGGCTCTACGGTCTCTGATCAAGTCGACAGCAGCCAATCCTTTCCCTAAAGCGGGCAATCGCTTCGCCGAGCTAATATAGCATACTACTGTCACGAGTGCTGGAAGTGATGGGAGGTCCACGAAGAGACTCCCCTAATTGCTCATAAATAGAGCCTCTCCCCGACTCCAAATGGTCATACTTTCTTTCATCTACACAGGTAACAACCAAGATCTCGCGGACAAGATTACAGAAATATATCTGCTGGAAATCATGTCTTCTATAACGTCTACTCAAGTACTTGGCGGCATCACTGTCCCCAAAACACCAGCCATCGACGCTGCCTTATCCTATGCGCGTTCCCACGCCGACGACCGAACCTATAACCACATTGTACGGTCCTTCCTGTTTGGTTTCTGCATCGCATCGAAGCTTCCACACTTGAAAGACCGCGATCTTGAGGTCCATGCTGTCAGTGCTATCCTACACGATCTAGGCTGGGACTCGACAGGAGAGTTGATATCCAAGGACAAGAGATTCGAGGTTGATGGAGCAGACGCGGCGAGAAACTTCTTACGCACTCTAAAGGCGGAGCAGGGTGGCGGCTGGGATTCCAGACGACTCCAGCTCGTCTGGGATGCTATTGCACTACATACGACCTTCAGCATCGTCTGCTACAAAGAGCCAGAGGTTGTGGCTTGTTGGATGGGAATTCTGGCCGATTTCACGGGGCCCGACAACTCTCCTGGGGGAAGCTTGACCTGGGACGAGTACAATAGCATTGTCAAGGAATATCCGCGGCTGAAGTTGATCACTGGGGTAAAGGAGATCCTTTGTGGATTTTGCAAATCGAAACCGGAGACCACGTACGATAATCTTGTGGGGACCTTCGGAGAAAAGTATGTTGAAGGCTACAGCCTGAAGGAACATAAGGCCGTAGACGTCTTTGACGCCTGCCCTCTCCCCGATTCCTTTTGAGGTAGTCGTATTGCCTTTTCGCTATGTGGCTTTAGCTAGTTCCAAATTCAATGGTTCATTTCGGTAGACTTACTCTCATCAACCAATTGCTTGTCTCCTTCTACGCATAGATATAGTTCGATAAACCGAGCTCAGCTTTTATCTCTATACTCCTTGAGGGCCCAAAGAGGAAATATCATGCGACAGACGTCTTCTGTAATTCCAGATGATTGATCCGTGGGCCGACTCGCTGCGTAAAAGTTGTTGGCCGCTTCTATTTGACTGGCAATCTGTGATGAGCGTAGCGGTAAGTCGGAGATATCACGAGTCATCCACTCAGGTCTATTAACTGCGAGATCGGTCAACGTGGTGCTGATGATAAGCTGTAATGACCAACACTCTATTTGAAGCAAGCCAAATTCGATTGTGGGAAACTCCTGTGCTGGCACGGAGCATATGCAAGATAGCGGCGTGGATAAATAACAGACACATTTGATGGCAACACCAGTGTGAGCTTCCTTGAGCCACGAGGATCTCCATTGGCCTAAGTCGGCTTCAATTTGGAAAACCCCCGGGATCTGGTTACTTGCATCGTGAGATCCACGGCATAGCGTCAGGCTTGCAGAGATTGCTGAGAACCGAATTGCAAGATCATGTAATTTATCTCGCCACGTTTTATGCTGATAGACCCATGGGCTAACCATCCAGTCATCAGCATGGAGAAATGTATCCTGACGTCTTGACAACGCCAAGAACAGCTGGAATCTAGGTCAGCTCACGCACTTCAGGCTAGGTTTTCAGACGTACTCCCATTTCCCGCACTTTCTTGAACACGAGATGAAAACCAGCGGTTGAGAAAATCTCAGGGCCACTTCGCATCGTCAATTCCAGGGCTCCGTCAAAATGTCCAGAATTTCCCCAACCAAAGCTCACGATGTCATGAGGTTGCATCAATGATGCCTCCATTAACGCATACAGTGTCGAAGTCACCGCTAACAAGGCTGTGGACCAGCTATCCATCTGCTTTTGCATCATAGATAGATACAACCTGATGCTCTCGTTGTAAGCCTCAAGACCAAGCAGGTGAAGGCGACTATTGAGTGAAAATAAAGTTAGACGCTGTGCACTGATAGCTATTAGAGCAAGATCGAGTGGTCGATTCCGGAGAGCTAGCCATGAACATCCTGGTGGCCAATAGTCTTTAGTCCTGCAGTAAGCAGATATAAATGTAGACCAAAGAGCCTCGAGATGTTGGCGAAAACCTGGCTGTAGATCGACGATGCTGGGCATCTCCCCAATTCCTTCGTCCAAGACAGTCATTATCTGTTCGTGTTTGGTTGAGGGTTGGTGGCCTTTAGCAAACACATCAGTAGGCGGATCTCTGGATCTTGTAAGAGCCTCGCAAAGCAACCGCTTCTTATTTGGGCTGCAAACGTTCGTCGCGGTCATATTGACAAACGTTCTGATGACATCTGAAGCGTAGCCTTCGCATTTACGCTGTGCTCTAACACAGCTATGGCACCTTGGGAGAGTTTTATCACACTATATAATTTAATTAAGTTGGTTCTTTGACTCTCAGAACGGTTCTTAGACATCGGGTTTAAACTCACCCATCGTCGGCGGCGTTGACAAGAAAGACAAGCCCTTTTGGCTTGTTGCCCCTGGGATTGATCTGATTGTAGCGTCTCCATTGAGAAACTTCAAGCTGTTTGATGATGAGGAAGAATAGAAAGTGGAAAAACGAAGAACGATATACCACGCAGATATGAAATAGAGGATAGTGTCACACCTTGTTCGAGTCTAGTGGATGACAAGGCCGGTCCAAGAGACAGTCGTGCATTTAATTATTGTGAACTAGGCCACATCGGGCCATTCGCTTCGCGGAGCTGATTGTTAACGTCATAAGACACGAGTCATATAAGTATTGCTGATGAGCCAATGGATTTACACGATTGGACTGATGTTCGGTGGACCTGGAGCAAGCTCGTGCAGTTTGGGAAGAATAAGAATAGAATCTAAGTGATAAGTCCCCGGCTGTTGTCAGATGCCTCCAGTGTGGCACGTATTTATGCTCACGAGAAGATTTAAATTCCGCTATGGCTGCGCATCTAGTCGAAAGGAGTTTAGTTCCTGAATGACGGGCGTTGACCGTTCATATGCTACATATTAGGCTGATACCGCTTGTATTCACACCAAGATGCACTTTAAATAGAACTATAGATAGTACAAAATTCCAGTGCTCAGAGCTTCTCGATGATATGATCAACAATCTCCTGAGCCTGTGCCCAGACATATGCTGTCAGATCAGCGGCAAAAGCCTGGCCAACATACCAGGTATCCTTCTTGCCTTGAAGAGCGACAATATCGCTCCAAAACCCGCTCGTTGCGGCATGTTCAGACACGGAGCATACCAGAGGACTGTGATCCGAGAAGCCGAAATACGTGGGATTGGGGCTGACGTCGTAAAGTCCGGTATTTCTGATGGTCTCAAGGTGGTCTTCAAGAAATTCCTTGGCATCCTTCACCTCAAAGTCGGGATTGCCAACAACCCAGGTCGCTGTGTAAGGAGTGGATGCAAAGTTGATGAATCGAGCGGTGGGACGCTTAGGGACAAAGTACCGATTCGGGTCAGAGGAGACGGGATCAAAATCGGTGGCATTGGGCATTCCATCAACTGTAAGCAATCCATTGTACAATTTGACGCAGTCCCACTTTGAGAAGAGATGGTCCTCTTCCTTGCTGGTGTCAAATGGCTTCATGTTATCCTCCGTGGGTGGAAAGCCAATAACAATCTGTTTGGCGGAAATTTTCGTGCAGCCTTGGGGACCGGTCACGGCGAGTTTGACCGCACCAGCTTGGTCACGAATGACGCTCTTGATGCGAGAATTGAGCAGCACTTTGTCACCGAGGCGGGTTTGGATGGTGGCGTAGAGCTGTGTATTGTTCCCGGACTCGGGAACAACCATGGGTGTGCCATCGAACCAAGGGAAGCCAAACGTCGAAATAGCTTGCAGCGTAGGCAGAGCAAGCAAGTCATTTGCCCAATGTGCGTCACCAAGCATGAGAACAATGGACTCGAGCTCAAGCTCCTTAACAGTTTCGATAAATGGGCGTGCGAGTGGGGCGGCATCGCCGAGGGGCGTTGGGAGATTGTAGCTAGGGTAAATGTAGTCCTTGTATTTGAGACCAAATTCAAGCCAGCGTCCAACAGCAGCCTCTTGCTCCTCGGGAGAATAAACCGTAAGATTGACGGGTTCGGCTGTCTTTTGATCCAGCGGAACTGATGTAAACGCAAGATTAGGAGCAGGAACCACATTAATGTTATACCGATTAAAGAACGGCTCGACAAGGCTTAGATTATGGTATGAGAGCAGTCCAAACTCAATGGGATGATCGACGCCAGGGACCACTATGGTGTCAACATGACCGCCCTACGCTTATCAGCCAATAATTGAGCAGTTGTAGCGTACAGATTCGCCTACTAAGCGTGACGCAGCATCAACCACCAAGACATCTTTGCCATAAACATCAGTGAGCTGGGCTGCAACATAGCTCCCTGCAGCGCCGCCACCGAGCACAACAACATCGACATCGAGCGAGTCACAGGCCGGGCATGCTGCCCCTGAGCCATGGTTGACCAGAAAGGCCAGTAAGGCAGTGCTGAGAAGACTTCTATTTAACATTTTGTGGAATTGAACGAGGCGGAAGATGCTACACAGAGAAGCATAGCGGTTATAAACCAGTGGAAGGCAGAGAACAGGTCGAAGACACGATGCATAGGCTTTAGAGCAACAGAGACCGCAATTCTTATATGTTGACAATGTTGCAACCTAATTGACAACAGCCTGATTACGTGTGACAAGATCCTTGATCTACATGTGCCTGTCTCGAGTCTCATTCGTAGCTTCGCACCAGTCAATCGGTAAGATAATTGCCAATCTCACTCTTAATTACAATAGGGCAACCTTATACGTACATGAGCTCCGCAAAGGCCTGATGTAAGCCCTAGGCCCAAGCTGTGCCCCAAAGTAACTGAGAGCGCTCCTTTGTACCTTGAAATATCCCAGCAGCGCTTCGGTCTCTCAGCTCGGATCACCTATAGATGGACTTGCTTAATTGAGCGCGACTAAGCACCTGTTAGACGACTCTGTGGGAAGACAGAATACGGCATACAAAAGACCAATAACAACAGTTCCATCTTATATATATGACACTGTCATGCCGCTAACTTAGATTGATTGTTGAATCCAGCCTGTTTACAGGTTGATGAATCTTGAGGAACTTCTTCTAAAATGTAATCATCTTTCACTATGTAACAAGACACCCTCATTGGGTGTCTGTGTTGCACTTTCTCGTTGTCCAGGGTTGATGATTGAAGACGTCAATAAATCTTTGAGAATATATTCGGGTTTCAAACATCTTCTGCCAGAATGACAAATTGAATGTTGTCTCAACATATTGCTTTAACAGACTCCCATTCTATGTTATACTATAGATCAATGAATATCAATACTGATTTAGTGTCCAACCAAATTTGATTGTGGCATCTCTTTGAAGTGTGTACATGGCAACAGGGAGCTTTAGAAAGGAGAGAGTATTTGCCAAGGGCAGTCGTACTTTACTAAATGACAGCCTAGGGCATGGAAGGGAATAGTAATGAAGGTAAACCTGTCGCGTTGTTGTGTCAACACACAGAACTGGTGCGTCAATTTGTGATTCAACCTTCCAGTAAACAACTGATACCGCGTTCCAAGGAAGGGTGTTGAGGATCAGTTTGAGACATATTATCCATCAAAGTTTAGCGTCGTTGTTTTGCCAATCACTCGAATGAGCACCTTCCACGAGAGAAGAGAAGGAGCTCGCAAACAGACGAGTGTTTTTTTTTCACTGCTTACTGCTACCTGCAGCTTCGTCCGAAGTCGTCTACCTCCGTGCCTTCCATACGTCTTTTTCATCAAAGCAAATTTTCTTCTTTGTAGCAGATCAACCACTTGCTGCGCTACAAGATCTACAGCCTACTTCTGGAGTCGGATAGCAACATAAAACCGGAATATGACGAGACCTTCAACAAACCAAATGAATATCGCAATCTACAGAGCATGAGGCTCGTCTGTCAGGCTATGAACAAGGACGCCAAAGTCATCTTTTTTGGCCAGAATACTTTCGAGTTCGCTTCTGAGGCTATGATGGCTATTTGGCTTCTCGAGATTGGGAGATCCATTCATTACGTGAAGAGAATCTTCATTCAAATGCCCAAACATACTTATGTACACTGGCGTCGTATCCTGATGTACTTGGGGCGCAAAGCCACAAATCTACAGGTCCTCCAGCTATGGGTGTTCGGGTTAATATCTTCCAACACTGGTCGATTTGTTCGTCACAACACTACTGCTCGTCTTGGCCCCCTGTTGAGGTTCTCTACAGTCTTTGGTGTTGACGACCTGGTTCAACTTATCTCTCAGATCAATTCTTTGAGAATTATCAAGCTCGTTGGCGAAATCGACAAATCCTTCATGGATGATATCTGTCTCTCCACTGCTTGCGAAGTCCAGGCACTCCGATCTCCGTCAGATTTCGCAACCTGGGATAACAGGGATTTCGAGGTATGGAGAGCTGTGCGACCTGCAGTTCACGTTGTACAGGAAGAAGAGTACGAACAGCGGAGCCCGATGCCTGCTTGGCTTATGGCCATTTTGCCCCCCTAGGCCGGCGCGGTGGTGGAGCCGGACGAATGACCGAAGCTTTGCATCCACATCATCAGACGGCACTAGCTCCTAATGCAGACAACTTTTATGGATTCAGCAAAATGCTCATGCATCGTGTCATGGCGGTCTTCACGTAAACACCAAGAAACGGAATTGCAAAGCACCAACTCATAGCGGTCGCTTGGGATGATTCCTCAAGGGGCTAGTTGATCCTGATAGAAGCACAAAAACTTAGAACTAAGGATGTCACAATTCCCGAGTCTTTACACATCCCTAGGAGGAGTCGTGCACATAACGCCATAACGCTGGTAGCCAGTGGCAGGAAATGCTTGTTTCACCGCTATACTACCTGAGTCTCAAGCGCAACTCCATGATATATGATACGTACATTGTAACATTAGAGAGGGCGTCGGACATGCATCAAACAATGCGCTCCTCACAGTTTCGACCTTAATCGATGTCAAATTATTTAATCAATTTCTCATGTTGCTGGTATCCATCTCTGAAGGATATCCCGCGTTTGGTAGTTCCGCGGGTGGGGAGTGATTTTGCCATTGTGGCTGAATATAATTTGGTTGGCCGTAGTTGTAAGGAGGAGCTTTGTGCTCAGTAGGTATCGTTGTTCCCAACTCTTGGGGTGGTATCGGAACTGCCGCCGCCAGCTTTCTCCTCCTGCCTCTCTCCCAGAGGGCCCAGGCTATTGCTGACAGTGCAATAACACCCAACGGGACACCAACGCCAGCACCAACAGCGGTGGCTGACGTGCCATTGCTGCTATCGCAAGTTGCCGTCGACGTCGCCGCGCTCGAGGACTGTGTTGCTGCCAGCGTCGCGGATGAGGATGCTGCGGTGGCTGTCGCGGACGCTGATACCGTGCTAGAATCATCATCGGTGCTCGTCAGGTTGGCCAATGCTCCGCGACCTATGATCATACTACCGGTTTCCATTGTGAACGACTCCTCTCCATTTGGACACACCACGCTGTCGCCATCGACCACGGGAGTACCGCAGCAGTAGGTTGCAGTTCCATTGATGAAGTTCAGGTTGACTACCGATATGCCGCCGTCCGGGTTATCGCTGCCTACAGATCGTTAGACTCTTCTCATGAAGAGGGAATATAATGGATTGAACATACTGCCGATGCAACGCTGCGTACAATTCGAGCCCCAATTCTGGTCGGTGCAGGTGCCCCTAGACGTTGTATATGGTTGGGATAATGCATTGAGGCAGTATCCATTGGACAGGCAAATCCCCGCCTTACCACAGCAGTTTGTGTGCGCGTCCGATGAACAAGGCACATCGTCAACAGCCTCGTCGCCGTTCGGGAAATAGCATGTCTGCGCAGCCGTGTAGCCTGCAGCGAGGCATAATGCAAGCAAGACGCCGGGGATCTGCTTGCTCAACATCGTGTCGCGATGCCGTGTACCCGTGGAGCCCGTGGTGTGATTTTCGGTATGATCACTCAAGAACACCGGGAGAGGAAGTCTCTGCCCATAAGACACTATACGTCCAACGCGGTAGTTGTCGTTTATCTCGTCCTTGGTGGCCGTTACAGGAGTGCCGTCACTTGCAGCACGCAAGATTCAAGTCGTGTGGACGATGACGGATGAAGAACTGCTCGAATTGCTACCAAAGAAGAGAGAGCGAATATCTCCACTCAAGAGGCCGCGCCATTGCCTGATCAATTTCATGAGAGCGGAGCCAGGTAGGATTCTCATAACTGCGCGATTACACCATTCTTGGCTCCATTGGGATTAAGTGAGGATCTACTAGCCCGGCTCTCGAGATGCATTGGACTGTGCCGCAATGCCCCCTATTCGTTTAATCCAGGATTGAGATCCTTCGGCACGGGTAGCCCCTGCTTGGCTCGAGCTTGGTCAGCACTCAGCCCTATCTCCACCGTGTTGGTAAGGACGTGAGCGCTCTGTGCATGCCGGGTGGCTTTTTGGCAACGTGGCAAGGCGTCGCGACACAGTCTTGATATAATGAGCGGACCTGCTATCATTGTCGCGGGTCCATAGACCACTAGGAGGATGCAAAGGTGTTGCTACCAACTTGGTCTTGGGCGCCGAGATGGGCGAGTCATGAACATTGTCTCAGGTTTCGGCAGAGTGATATCCGCCCACCTCGCCTACGGTAGCCAAGCTCGAGACACGCTAATAGCCGCTCAGCCCGCCGTAGGTCAAGCGATCGTCCATCACCGATGTTGGTCTGCCCCACGAAGGCTGTGCAACCCCATAACCTACCTGGTTGAAGAGACTAGTTGACGCAGAGTTGCTAAAGGACCAAGACACAACTGCCGACGTAGTGTCTGCCGCGACCTCTCTTAGCAATAATGTCCTCGTTTGTGAGGCGACCGCTGCCTTTGAGATTGTTCAAGGTTACACTTAGTTCATGAACTGAACTTTATCGCCTGCTTGTAGACCCTCCGATGACAGTTGGAGCGATGCTATATAAATATGGGCAAAGCTATGTTGGCGCTCAGGATGATGCTCAACCTGTCCATGTAGCCAATCTCCCCCCCCAGCTAGATCATCCTGAACCCATATTGACTGTATCATAAGAGACACAAATTTTAGATTTCGCATCGGCATGTTACTTTCGGTTTTGTTCATGATATCAAGGAGTACGATCCTCTGCTCATCAGTAGTCGCCTCCAGGCCGAAAATCAATAAAGGGAAAGGGCGCGGGTAGGCATTCAGTCGCTGTAGGATTCTGACAGCCTTACTGAACCATTGACACACATTACCATGTCCGAGGCGATCGGATGCTCGACCCAGGTAGATCAAAGACGCCAGACGGAATAACTCCAGATCCGCAACATCTGCCAATGGCGACTCCATATCTATCGAAACAGGTTCGTTCGGAATATCTGGGATGGGAATGTCAAGGAGTTCCACTTGGCGTGAGATTAGGTACGCTCGATGATCGTCATGGCTTCGTTCTGGTGAAGTGCATTTCAAATTGAAGTCGAAACC